ACATCAGGTACCTGACCACGGAGCAGCCGTGCAGGGGTATCATTACCCAGATTTTATCCACCCTCTACAAGGGCCGTGTGCAGGCAGCTCCAGCCTCACAGAGAATGTGTCCTCCTTGCTACAGACCCCAGAGCCCCTTTTCTCTACAGTGGCTCCCACAGGTCTGGAAGGTGGGCAGGGGCAAAGGGACACGCTAGCTCCCGTATGCAATCATGTCTAAACCACTGTAGCTCCTGCCTTCTCAGTAACTCTGGCGTGGAGTACTTGTGTTGGAACTGGGCTCAAAGCCTTGAGCGGCGTTTCTTAACAAGAGGTATCATCAGCTTCACCAGGGGAAGCTCGCTGCAAATTCTGACCCAGTCGGTCTGGAGTGGGGCCCAGGGGTCTCTGGGCTTCTGCAAGCTCCCCCATTGAGGCTTGGGTACACCCTCAGTGAGAGCCATTGAACCAAAGAGATGAGATCCTGGACGTTTCAGACATCGAATACCAGTACAGAAGTGTTTGGACGGGTGGAGGGGGGTGTTTGAGGGGAGAGTATGGAGGAGTGGGAAGAGGTGTTACAGCGATCTTTCCAGTGCCCCCGACATCATGCCAGGTAGGAGGGGCCCACAGGAAGCTGGCATTCCCAGCAAGGGCCCTCTTGTCCTCATGCTGCCAGTTTCCAAACACCTGACACTTCAGAGGCAGGGTCAGCCTGGGCCTATGCGCGGCCTGCTGGAAGCCTCGTTACTATTTGACTGCTCAGGGCTTCCTCCGAGTGTGACATTCGGACCCCCAACCGCTGGAATGGAGCCCTTCTTTCCTGCTTTGGCATTGCTTTGGAGTGGCTGCCCACAGTGCGACCTCACAGGCCACTCAGGGCTGTGACCTCCTGTGCCCTGTCCCAGCCAGACTCCTGCGCTTGAAAGGAAGGCTCCCTGTGCCTCCTGTCAGGTGACTAGAGGTTCTGTCCCTGGCCACAGTCCCAGTGGGCACGGAGACCTACAAAGCGCCAGTGTCCTTGATTTACTCCCTCTGTTCTTGCTCAGCTGCTTTTGTTCGGTTGTTTCAGTTCCCAGCCCGAGAGGACTGATAAGCCAAGCCTCAGGAAGCATCAGAGGCAGCCAGGGGCTGTCTCCTGGTGGGGTTACAATGCATGCACTACGCGGGCATCACCTTTGGCAAGAGGCCCCTGTGGTTGTCATGACAACGTGGCTAGCCTGTGTCTTGGGGGTATGCTGTGCCCTCATTCTGGCTGCCCACAGTCCCTTGCCCCAGCTTTCTTCCCCCGATCCTTTCAACAGGCTTACAGCATCCTGGCGCCACCTCACATTAACTATTCTTCAGTTTGGAACAGCTTTGTCTTGATCAGCAAAAGAGCCCCTTGACTTAGCTATCAAAGGAATAGATCCAGCCGTTCCTCTCCTTAAAATGCTTGAGCCTCTCGTCTCTCTCAAAGTCGAAGTCCTTGCCATGGCCTACAGGGTCCTAGGTGATCTGGCCTCAGCTCCCACCACTCTTTCCCTGCCAACCACTCCAGGCACACTGGCCTTCTCCCTGGTGCTCAGATGCGCCAAGCAGATGCACCTCAGGCCCTTTGCACTCTGCCCTGAGTCCTGCGTGCTTGTTCCCTCCCCTCATTCAGGTCTCTACTCAAATGTCCCCTCCTCAGAGAGGGCCCCTGATCACCCTACCTAACACAGCAATGCTTCCACCTTTTATCCTCATAGCTTTGTGAGAAAAGAAAGCTTTCTCTTTCCTCATAGCACCCTTCAACCCCAGGCATTTTATCATAAACTCAATTTTTTTGTTGGTTTAATTTCTACCATCCCCAGTAGACTGCTCCTGGAATGGGGGCAGCCTATAGTCAACACCCATAAACATTTGTTATGTAAGTGAATGAATGACTAGCACTGGATTCAAAACCTAACTTTGTTATTTGGTAGCTTTATGGCATTGCACCAGCCACCTGGTCACCATGAGCCTTGGTCTTCTTGTCTGGAAAACAGAGGTGATAATATCTGCCAGTGAGAGTGATGAGAATAAATGAGGTGGCACAGTGGGTGGGACCAAGGGCATGCCCCACACATGGTAGCTGACATCATCTCCATTCTTGTGTCAACTGCATCCAGAATGCTCTCCTTGTCCCTGGCTCCTGGAAAACCCCGCACATTTCCAAGGCCCTCGTGACTCTATGTTCTGCCAGGGAAACTGCAAGGTGCCCAGAGAAAGACAGCCAGCAATGGGGTGAGGCAAAAGCCCCACTCCTGCGAAGGGGCTCTGCACTCATGCTGGGGCAGCTAGAGCTTTTACATGGAAGACCAGCCAATCGTGGCCTCCCCCTACCCTCTGTCTGTTCCTGAGGCCCTTAGAGACTGCCTTCACCAGGCTGGAGGGGATGCACCCGTGTGGGCCCAGCAGCCCTGCCTTCACCCGCCTCCAGGGGTCTCTAACGCGGTGCGCGGCTGCAGGACGCCCAGCCCTCACCACAGAGCAAGGACTTCATGGGGCTTTTCAGGGCTTCCCTTGGTGTGGGGTCAAAAGCTGTTAGAAGGAGGAAGGAGATTCACAGCTTTTTTTTAAAAAACAGGCTAGAGGATATGTTTGCCCATTTCTGAAACTGTTGGGAGAGGAAATATTCTGTCCATGTGAAGTCCTGTTATCAGTCTGAAATTAAGATCCTTCCTTCAGTTTATCTTGTCCGACATTTTCCAAAGGGGACAAGGGCCAGCAAACATGGCAGCACTGAGTGCATGCTGGACGTGGAGTTTGAACAAAGTACTGGGGTGACAGGAGGAGCAGAGGCCAGGCCCTGCCCCTGAGGTGCAGCACCACCAGGCAGTCTGGCTCATTAGGGCCTATAAAATGCACCAGCACAGGTGACAGTGCCATCTGCAGTTGGGAAGTCTATGGTATCTGCATCCCCTGTGTTTAGATGATAGAGTCAGACACTTGCTCAGTCAGTTTACAAGTGACAGTTGTTACTTGACACAAGGAAGAAAGAGTAACAGGTGCCTGGAAGAAAAAGGACAGAATCCTGAGCGACTTAGCATATTTATCAGTGAGGTAGATAATGACATAAAAGGCAGCCAAAGGGAAGAAAATAAAGGCACAACAGAATGAGGACCTCTCGGCAGCCTGAACCCCCAATAAACAGGAAGTATTGCATTTGGGATCAAAAGGGCAATCAAACTGAAAGAGGATGTACTTTTGTATTTTGACAACCACTCATAAAAATATGAAAGTGTTTAAACTGATCACAAGCTTAATAGAGGCCCGTGACAAACTGACATGGCCATGACGATGACAAAGCTGCTGAAAAACAAAAACAGTGTTGGCTGGAACCAGAAAATATTGGGTTCAAGTCCCAGCTCTGCCACTTATTCTCTGTGTGACCTTGGGTTATCCATGGCCCTCTCTGAGCCTCAGAATCTAACTGAAATGAGCTGGTAAGGCCTTCCCTGCTGGGTTATTTTGAGAATTAGAAATAGGTGAGCAGAGTACCTAGCCCAGTGCTTGGGAGAATATGGCAACACCTGGCATATAGAAGGTTCTCAGTAAGTGGTCATTGTTAGCAATTCACCTGCTGGAGAATATAGAACATAAATTTTTAAAAGCTGTCTGCACCCTGCTCCTTTCGGACCTATCTGGAGTCTTCTGTCCAGATCTAGGCTCTATACCTAAGATCAGTTGGAAAGTAACCATGTCACTGAGCCCTCAGATGAGAGAACTGTGCAGTCAGCCTGAGGATAGAGCTCCAGACACGTAGGGTATTTTGTTGTTGCTGCTAGTATATTTGAAGAACCATCAGATTAACAAGGAGGACATGCTAGGATGCTCCAAAGATCCCAAGTAGAGGTGAAAGCAAATTAGTGGGCAGGTCTCAGCGCCAAGTAAGAGGAAACAGCTGCCCGCAATGAAATGCACTGGCATGCAAAGTAGTGAGCTCCCCACCACGGGAAGTATCTGGGCAGAAAGCAGATGACCAGAAAGGTTGCAGAGGGAATTTCTGCCTCCAGGCCCCTTGCAGCCAAACAACCCTGGATTTGGATCCAGCTTCCTGAAGTTGGCCCTGTGGCCCTGGGCAAGTTAACCTCTTTGAACTTCAATGCCCTTATCTGTAAAATGGGAACAATATTACCTCAAATAAGTGCTAGAAGGAGGAAGTCTGTCTGATCATGTCCAGAGAACACCTGGCCCATAGTAGCCTCGCCAACACGGAGTAAAAACCAGGGCTGTGTGACTTCTACAGGTGCCTTCTGTGAGCCTGAGAAGTGCAGTGTGACCACAAAGAGACCCTAGGAGGGTAAACAGACTGCCCCCCTGCCACCAGGCTAGGACAGGACAGGCTCCAGACAAGCCCAGCAGCCAGGGCTGGCACCAGGCAACAAACAGCAGTGGTCAGTGGGCATGGGGACACTGCCTTCCCCAAGGCCTTGCCATGGTGTGGCCCTGTCTTACGGGCCTCTGAGTGCGGTGCTCAGCGCTGGTTGCATATTGGCATTTCCTGCGTTAATCCGGCTTGGGAACCACTTTAGAGGGAAGTCACAAACAGGAGACATGATTTGAGGCCAGAGAATTCGGCGCATCAGCTGATGCAAAGAAAGACGTGAGATGGTTTAGCGATGTCTTCTTGGTTTGTGAAGGGCTCTGTATCAAAGGATGGAGAAGTGCAATTTTGCATCTTCCCTGAGGATGCAAGAGGAAATGAGAGAACTCAATAGTAAAAGGATTAGTGGCGACTTAAGGAAGAATTCTCTTCCAGTGACAGATGTTGGGTCATGGGAGGGACAGCGGAAATACTCAAGGAAGCGTCTCCTGGGGGCTTTCAGCCAAGCAGAGGTTGCCATCCAGAGGAGGAAGCCAAAGCAGGTTCCCATCCAAAGAGGCCCGGGAAGGCAGTCACAGCGTCCCCTTTCATCTTGGGATGCACTTTGACCCTGTCATCAGCCCTAAATATCACACTTCTCCTTTTCCTTTCCTCTTCGTTGGAGTAACCCATCGGCATCTCCCTTCTACAGGCATCTCGGAAAACATTGCCGCATCCTCAAAGCCGGACCCGGTGGAAGAGAAGCTGAGGTCACAGGTGGAAGAAGAAAAGAGAAGGTGCCCTTTCATTCTGCCACAAGTGCCCTGACCCCAGCCTCAGAGGGCTCTCAGGGACCACCTGGCGCTGCATAGGGCAGGGCAGACCCAGGCTGGAGCTACTCGGGGAAGGGTGTCCTGCAGCCAGGTCCTCAAATAGCTGGAGGAGGTGCTGCCTTTGAGCAGGCAGCGGTGAAATGCAGGAACCCTAGGATGTGTGAGGTTGGAATGGGGAGCAGAAGCCGAAGCAGGCCCTGGAGCTGGAATTTACCAATCAGGGAGGCCGGTTTGCTGCTGTCACGCTCTCCAGCCCAAGGCCCCAGGCTGCAGCTCTGCAAGCAGCTAGTCTTGTCTGCTACTGCCATCTAGGGGCGAGAAGTATGACCGTGGAGGTCTTCCTCAGGCCTGCGCCATCTAGGGGCGAGAAGTATGGCCGTGGAGGTCTTCCTCAGGCCTGCGCTTTGCCCCATTTCCCTCTTGTGTCCTTATCTGTGAGGTGTCCTGAGAACAGCATACCCTCCTGCAGCCATTTGGGGTCCCAAAATGATTTCACTTACAGAGTGAGGAACCTCCAGCGTAAACAGACATGTGGTCATTGCTGATACACAGCATGGTCCCAGAATCTCCCGGAACACTCCAGTCAAACTTTTTAGTTCATTCATTCATTTATGCATTCAGCAAACGTTTGCTGTCTCCTCCATGCCATGGAGAGGTTCTTGGGAGACCAAACAAGTCACCTTCCTTGTCCTCAAGGAGCTGATGGTGTTATTGAAACACAGGCCACCCCTGTGCGTACTAGGCATGCATCCTGAGCAAACGCAATCACACTGCTCCTCCCCACTGCCACACACACACACGCTCCTGCCATCCCGAGACCTGAGGAGAACACAGCCCCATGTGGCTGGGCTCCAGGTCCCTCCTGACAACTATGCACTGTGTCTTCTCCTGCCAGCATCCTCCTTCCAGCGTGCCTTGTGCTGGCCTCCTCGCACTGGCCTCCTGGACGTGCCACTGTGGCTCTCCACCACTGGGATTGGCTCCCCAGTTGTCCTCGTTTTCCCTCGCTTCACTTATTTTTCTCAGTTTCTTTCCAAACCATTCTTCTTGCGTCTTTACTCCACCCCATCTTGTCTCCTTGGCCCACATTCTTCAGATGACTTCAGGGTCATCTCAGAAGCCAAGTGGTCTCTGCCGCTTGGCTGTTCACCTGCTTCCTGTTAGACACATTCTAATTCCTTGTAGCCCCAAACGCACACATGGAGTAACAAACGAGTTGTCGCTCTTGGTCTCCCGAGTGAAGGGGAACCAGCAGAAGGGTAAGGGAGTTAAGACTGTGGTTCTGGAGCCAGCCGGCCGGGGTTCAAATCCTGGCCCTTCTGCTCATTAGCTCTGTGCCATAGAGCACATTACTCAAGCTCTCCATGCCTCAGGTTCCCCATCCGTGAAGAGGAGATGATGACAACAGGATCTTCATCACGGGCTTGTGAAGACGATGAGATGAGTTGCTCTATGTCGAGGGCCGAGAGCAAGGTTGCCCCTGAGTAGGTGCTCAGTGATGGTAGTTAGCCTTCTGAGAGGAGAAGGGTCATTCAGCCCACACACAGAGCCCCGTGGGCCCTGGACAGAAACACTTGGCTCTGTTGCTTTATGAGGGACTCAAACCCTGGTGCCACGCCGAGGCCTCTGTGCCAGGCTTCTGAGGCCCAGGCCCTGCAGCGACGGTCCGTTTACAGCCCTCCCTCCTTGCCTGTGACTTCTGAGACTCTTCTCTGATCCCACTGTAGATATAAAGCAATGTTCACGCGCCTGAAGGCCCTGAAGGTGGAGATTGAGCACCTGCAGTTTCTCATGGAAAAAGCCAAGGTGAAGCTGCAGAAAGAGTTTGAAGCCTGGTGGGCAGAGGAGGCCACCAGCCTGCAGGTATCGGCAGCGTGTCCCTTGCTGCCCCAGAGCCGCCCCTCCCCCTGTGGCCTGGGGAACATCAGGGCAGCTGGGGAGGGGTCAGACACACAGCCCCCATGGGGCTGCCAGAGGCAGAAGAGGGGGCACTTCGACCAACAGGCCCCCCTGCTCTCAGCCCTGGCTCACGAAGCAAGTGCTCGTTTTAGTAACGAGGAACGCAAATGGTCGGGGCTCAGTGCTTCCTTGCTCTGGTGCCTGACACGTGGAAAGGTGGGGATGGAGGGCATAGCTCCCCAAACCAGTGGGTTGCCATCACTGCACTGCTGTCTGTGATGTTCTCCAGTGATATCATATTGACAATGTGATTGTTTTGTTTATTATAGTCATTCATATATATATATATAAATTACATAAATTTTAGAAAATGTAGAAAAACACAAGGAAGTAAAACTCACCACAATCCCACCACTTAAGGATAACCAATATTAACATATTGGCTTATATTATTTCATCTTTTTTTCTATGCATATACACCCCTATGTTTTTATAAAAATAGAATCATATTGGTTTTCAGTGCCTCAATGGCTTTTTTTCACTTAACTGTACAGCACGACTACCCTTCCGCCTTGTTGTCCTCCACGGGTGTTCTAATGGCTGTCACTGTCCCATCATGTGGGTTTATTGTCATCTGCTTAACCAGTCTCCTATTATTTAATATTTAGGTTGTTTCTGGTTTTTCACTGGTGACATATTTGTGCGTACACTTTTGCACATTTCCTAGACAAATTCCTAGACATTCTCTATAGTATGATAAAGGCTAAAACAACCTGTTAGTACAAACCTCCACTTCTGACTGTCCTCGTGCGACTCCTCAGCTGTAGCACAATGGAAGTGACAAAGTACACTTAATCCTGTCACTTGCTTGGCTGGCAGAACCCTTAGAGATGATCTAACAGGCAGATCCCCTCATTTTAAGGACAAAGAAACAGAAAGCCAGGAAAAGATTGAGGACACACAATCAAGCAGTAACCAGTATGTTACCAAGTAGCCATGTGTCCAGACAATAGAGGAGAATATCTGGATAAAATTAAATACAGAAGAAGACAAAGAACACCAATAAGACTGAAATACAGTTCTCGATATATTTTTAAAACAAAGTTATGGTATAGTACTGTGCATACCACTTTACAAATGCATTACTATAAGATCTAGGGGTGGGCCCATAATTTGCCATAATTTCAAAGTAGTGATGAATACAATATTTCAAGGTTTCTGCAATAACTGTAAGGCAATGTGAAAATATCGGTGATTTCTACTGGTGACAAGGCACTGGTACTGCTAATATTACTACGATTTGTTGTCTACATTTATCATTGAAAGAAATGCTCCATCTCAGGTAGAAGTCAGGAAAAATGAAGATGTAACTGGTTCGCATCCATGCTCACGGTGCTGCTGTCTGTGCTCCAGTTAAGACCCTTCCTAGTGAGGTCATCAGAGAATGAGACCTTCAGCCACTGAACAGTCAATGCGGCTCGTCTGGTGTGACTCAGAAGTGTCTGGGCAGAGCTGACAGATTTGGACAGTTTATGATTTACATAGACAGTGAAAGCCAGAGTAGGCAAAGGTGACAACTCCATGTGTCCCCTGTCCCACAGGATGTCACTGAAACCAACAGGACCAGGTGACTGCAACAGGGATGATGGGCCACCTTGAGGAGCCAATTCCATCCCGCCACTAGGCAGTTTTATAGCTGCAGGTGTACCCTGAGCAGGGCGAGGTGGAAAGCCATAAACCTTCAGAGAGCGTGAGAGGCGATGAGAAACTGTCCCATGACAGCATCCTGGGGAGATCGGGAGACAAGGGGAAATAGCCTGGGAGCAGCTCCTCGTGAGCCTCCTGTGCATTCTTGTTCTGGGGGAGTCACGGGTATTCTGCCAGGGCTCAGGGAAGCTGCAGTTTAAGCCTTGCTCCGGAGCCCTGCATGGAGACGTGCCAGGGTCTCAGGGCACCTGGCGGAGCTGCTTCCCTACGGGAACCGCTCAGTGGATTCCTCCAGACTCTGGCAGCTTCTCTTTGGGACAAGAGGAAGCAAACCAGAAAGGACCTCTGGAGAATTGTCAGATCACATTTTAAACATTTTCCCCAAACTACACAAAGTAATACATGCTCAATTTAGAAAACTTAGAAAGCACAGAAAAGCACAAAGAATCAAACATTACCTGTAATCCTGCCATCCCAAGATAATATTTTGTTGCCCATCATCATGGTCATTACTATGTTTAGATTTATTTTTTCCCACGTATGTTGTATTTACCGACTTCCATAGCTAGCTTTTTCCCCTTAAGAAATACATCAAGGACGTTTTCCCATGTCATTAGAGTCAGGCTAACACTGTGATCTCCTTCCTGGGCCAACAGGTAAACTCTCCTGCGGTGAATGCCCTCAACCCCATGAAGCCTTTTCTGCAGACACCTGAGGCCCAGCACGAAAGGGCCCAGTGTCTCTCTGACAAAAGGTAAGGAGCGCCCTCTGCCGACGGGGTGAGGGTGCCCAGAAAGGGCTCCCACCTCTCCTCTGCCGTTCCGGCTCCTCTGGTTTCTCCGTGGGCTGCACGATGCGAGAGGGTGAACTTATTTTACTGCTAAATCAGTTGTAGATGCTCGGGCCCTACAGTGGCTTTCAGGCTCGTTTGAGCACCCCCTTCAGTCTTCAGTCCTCTCCCCCTTGCTCTGACAGCCACTGGACCTACTGCCATGGCTGCAAGAGACTAGCGGCTTAACCCACAAGCCCTGGTCTTGCCCCCTGAGCAGGAAGAAGGGGTTGGCAGTAGGAGGGAGGGGAGAGTAGCATGGGAGAGGGAGGGAGAGTTGGTGGCGGGTGGGGGGGGCCGGGGGGATGTTGGTGGTCGGCCTGCCGGGATACAGGGGAGCTCTGGTAAAGGACTCCATCCTAGCACAGATTCAGGAGAGATGTGGGCAGCCTCCCGTGAGGACGGCCTCCATGAGGACAGCCCAGGGCCAGTTTCCCTGAATGTTGGCATGGTCCAGCCAGGACTCTGCTGCCCTGCACACCGTCTTCTGAAGACAGGTTCCTTCCCATGCCGTCCACGCTATTATCTCCTTCCAGCCACACAGCTCAGGTGGTAGAGCCAATGACGCATGCCTTGGCCATCCTCCATCCCCTAGACAGACCCGGCACTGCCATGACAGAGGCCAGGGCAGCATGAGTGGGGCCTCAGCCTCCACCGCCAAGGAGCGATCCTTTGACTGGGTTTGAACAGGAGCTGAGCTCTCACTTAGAAATGTGAAATAGAGCTTTTAAACAGGGTGAGGGGGAGTGCCAGACGGTATCCTTGAAATGATGTGATGAGAATGGCAATTTCCCTCTGTGATCTTCTTCTCAAAAACCCATAACCCCAGTAGAATCATGAGGAAAACATCAGACAAGTCCCAACTGAGGGACATTCTACAAAATATCTGCCCAGTACTCCTCAAAACTGTCAAGGTCATCAAAGACAAGGAAATTCTGAGAAACCGTCACAGACAAGAGAAACCTAAAGAGATACGACAACAAAATGTAATGTGCTCTCCTGGGTGGGATCCTAGATCAGAAAAAGCACATTAGGTAACAAGTAAGAACATCTGAATAAAGTATGGGCTTTAGTTAATAACAATGTATCAACATTGGTTCATTAGTTGTGACGAATGTGCCATACGAACATAAGATTATGTAAGAAAGGAAACTGGGTATGGGGTACTCTTGGTACTATCTTTTCAACTTTTCTGTAAATCTAAAACTACTCTTTAAAAAAACAAACCAGTCAGTGAGCCCTCCACCACCTGGTTGACATTTTCCCTGGACATCTCCACATCCCCCAACCTGCCTGCCGTGCCAGCACTTCAGCTGGTAGTCTAGTCTTAGGAAACATCTCCTACGTGAGCCCCTAAGCCCAGGGTCAACAGCTGGCAAGGTGTGTTCTGTTTGGCTAGGCTGTTGTTTTAAAAGGCAATGCAGATAGATCCATAAAAGACAAATTGATAAGTTGGACTTTATTAAAATTAAAAATGCTGCTCTGCGAAAGACACTGTTAAGAGAATGAAAAGGCAAGCCACAGACTGGGAGAAAATCTCTGTGAAACATGTAGCTGATAAAGGACTTGTGTCCAAAATACACAAGGAACTCTTAAAAGTCAACAATAATTTTTAAATGGGCAAAATATCAGAACAGCCACCTCACCAAAGAAGACATATAGATGGCAAACAAGTGTATGACAAGATGCTCGATATATATGCTCATAGATGCTCAAGATGCTCATATGTCCTTAAGAAATTGCAAATTAAAACAACAATGAGGTACCACTACACATCTATTAGAATGGCTAAGATCCAAAAATATGACACCATCAAATGCTGGCGAGGATGTAGAGCAACAGGAACCCTCATTCGTTGCTGGTGGGAATGCAAAATGGTACAGCCTCTTTAGAAGACCGTTTGGCAGTTTCTCACAAAACTAAACACACTCTGGCCATATGATTCAGCAATCACATTCCTTGGTATTTACCCAAGGAGTTGAAAACTTACGTCCACACAAAAACCTGCACACAAATGTTTATAGCAGCTTTATTCATAATTGCCATAACTGGAAGCAACCCAGATGTCCTTCATAGGTGAATGGATAAACAAAGTGTGGCACATCCAGACAATGGAATATGAATCAGTGCTAAAAAGAAATGAGCTATCAAGCCATGAAGGAATCTTAAATGCATATTACAAGGTGAAAGAAGCCAATCTGAAGAGACTACATAGTGTATGATTCCAACTATATGACATTCTGGGAAAGACAAAACTATGGAGACAGTAAAAAGATCAGTAGTTACCAAGGAGAGAGGGGAGGGTGGAAAGGGGGAACACAGGGGATTTTTAAGGCAGTGAAACTATGCTGTGTGACACTGTAATGGTGGCTATGTGATCTGATGCATTTGTCAAAATCCACAGAACTGTACGACAGAAACGGTGACCCCCACGTAAGCTATGGACTTCAGTTAATAATGTATCAGTATTGGGTCATCAGTTGTAACAAATGTACAGCCCTAAGGCAAGATGTTAATAATAGGGGAAACTAAGGAGGGAGAGAGGGGTTACATGGAAACTCTCTGCACTATCTGCTAAGTTTTCTATAAACCTAAAACTTCTTGAAAAACTGGGCCATTAATTCAAAAATAAAAGGCAGTGTAAGTAGACAGCTGCACTGCTCCATAACAATACAGGCATCTTAGCATAAATGTCCTACATGGGCCCTCTCTGTGCATTCACTTGGGTGCACTCACTGGGGCGCTTGAGTTTGCAGCCCCGTATACCTTCCTGCCTCTCCACACAGGGCCCCATCCCTGAAATCCCAGGACTCCACAAAGCATGTCTGAAAAACACTGGGCCAGGCCAGCCAAGGGGACAGTGTTTCCCCCGGTCACTGCTCCAGCTCCATTCCGAGCCTCTCGTGTGTCTGCCACACAAGAATAAGCTCTCCTCCCAATTATGAGGCGCAGAAGCCCTGGCTATTTCCCCAGCCTCTTTTCTAACACAGTGAAGCGCACGGGTGTGTGTGTTTGTGTGTGTGTGTGTGTGTGCGCGCGCGCGCGTGCGTGCGTGGAAAGGCCCAGTAAACACACTCCAGGGCTATAACGTAGAAATAGACTGTGCCTGCTAGGTGAAGTTCAGAATCTTGATTTCAAAGATAGGTATCAGATCACCCATGGGACCTTTCCCAAAATCATGTTCCCAGAGCTCAGCCCCAAGCCCCTTTGATGACTGCTGGCAGGAGGGTCTTTGGGGAGATGGCTCTCTGGCAGGCCCTGGAGCACTGTTCAGGCCCGTCCGTCCTCTGCAGTGGCTGCCAGTGCTCTGGTCCGATCGCTGACCCTTGGCAGAGATACCCAAGAGTCCTGAACAATGTTTGTTAGGACGCCTAAGCTGTAAGCGGTTGGCACTTCTAAATTCTCGCCCACACAGTAGTTTGGATACCAAAAATTGGGGGAGGAAAGCTGACAGTAGACAGGTGAGAGGGAAAGCGTCTGGGGGCTCTGCTGTTCACCTGCCCCTCGCTCTACGATCTGGCGGGAAGGAGCTCACAGAGCTCTATGAGGGGAAGCAGAGGGGATACCCAGCCCAGGTCCTAGTGGCTTCTTGCACATTCTCTGCAAACAGCCAACAGCAAAGGATCAGTTGTTGATGTCCTTACATCCTCCAAGGAGACGGCGTTGGCTTTCTTCTTCTACAGTAATAATAGCCCCTGTCCATTTATCAAGGGCCCTCTGGGCCAGGCACTGCACAAATGAGTGACATAGGTGCTATCCTTGTCCCCATTTTACAGATGAGAACACACAGTCTCCGAGAGATTAATTATCTTGCTCAGGGTCCCCCAGCTAATAAATGGTGATTCCAGGATTGACCGGGCCTGTCAGCGTCTGGCCACCCCCTCACTCCTCGGGTCAACTCCCTTTAACGTTAGTGACCGCCCTTTAAGAGCACCTGTGTATTCTGCTGTTTAGTAGGAGGTGCCATTTTCCAGCCCATATTCCATACTATTTCATACAATCGTGCTTTTTGTATATTCTGCTGAATTCCAGGTCCTCCTGCCAGGGGCCTCCTGCCTTTCCATGTGTCCACAGTCTGATTTTCAAGGGGCCAGGATTTTCAAAGAGCAAATCTGGGTGTGCTTAGAAGGCCAGCCCCTGACCAGAAACCAGAACTCCCTGATATTGGCCCCACCATTTCCATTGAGAACCCCTGAATTCAATCCTCCCATTTAACGAATGAGAAAACTTAGGCCGGAAAGCGAATGTGATGTTCTGAACTCTAGTTAATAACATGAAGAGCTACAGCGTCATCTTTGCTCAGTGGCATTTCTTCCTCCCTCCCACCTCCTGCTCTCTGCCCTCTCCCTCCCTCCTTTCCTCTCTCAGCTTTACTCCTTCACTCCCTTCTTTTCCCATCTTTTTATTCCTCTCTCGCACTCTACCTATCTTTATTTCCACCCTACATTCTCTTTCTTCTTTTTTGGTCTTCCCACCTGTGCTTTGTGCTGCTTCTCCCATGCTCCCTATCAGCCAAGGCTGCCACTCTTTTTCCTTGTCCATTTGTCCACTTTGCTGCCACCTTAGGTCTAAGAATTAGCCACTGGGCAGAGCCTCCTAGGATCTCCTTGGGAAACCACCAACAGAATCCCGCTCCTCCCCCGACATCCACCTTGTCTGAGAAGCAGGGCCTGTTCTATTCTGGCTTTGGCATTCCTGGACATTCGTTAGCTATTCCAATTTAAGATGATGCCTGCATGTGCTTGCCGAGAGATCCTTAACCCTGAGGTTCGGAACCTTGGATTTCCAAGGTGTGTATTATCTCACCAGTGGTTACCTCCAAGGTTAGACTCAGCTTAGACTTTCACAAAGGCTGTATCGAACAAATCCCTGTCAGAGCTCTCCAAGCAGTGGGCCACTGGGCAAGCCAGCTCTCCGCTTTGGGATTCTCTGCCTCATCTGTAAGACGCATCAAGATCGCTCTGACTCTATTATTCTATGAGCAGAGAAATGTTCCAGTGCCAGTGCCACTGAAGAGCTGCTGGAGCCAGTGAGCGCGGGTCCAGCTGGCTGTTTGCCCCCGAGCTCCAGAGTGGCTCCCTTGACAGCCTTGGTGCAGCCAGGCGCTGGTGCTCTGCTGCTCAGCTTCTGAAGGAAGGCTGATTCCATCACTTGCCCGAGGATGCTCAGGGCCTGCAGGCTGATCACAGTAAATTCACAACACTCTGATTGGCAACCCAGGAGGCCTAATTATTATTAATATTACTTATTAATCCTTATTAAGAAAAAGATCATTAAATCTGATGGCTGGTTTGTTCTCTCTCCAGAAGGAATGTCAACATGAGAAATGAATTCATTGTCAAAGGCTGGTTGGTCAGGAAAGAGGACAGAAGTAATTCACGGTATGATCCTGAGGGCTCAGAAACCGAGCTAAGGCATCCAGGGACTCTCAAGCAGCCTCAGGACTGGGGGACTCATTTCCCTCAGGAGCCCCAACCTTCGCATGTGCCACCCTCCTGCGTGAGCTGGTTGAGACAACGGGCTGGGCACTTGGGCCTCTGCAGAGGGTGCTGGACACCCCATCTGCCATGGTGTGACCATGCGCTCTGCCCTGCCCATGTCCAGCTCTGCTCCTCTTCCACCCGCTCCCAGCGCTCAACTGTTGGCACCGGTGAAGGCTCCCTGGCATCTGAGAAGAGGCTCCGCGGGGAAACCATTGAGTTACTGAGCCATTCCTGTGCCAATCACTTGATCTTGCAAGACTTGCTACAGCTTCCAAACTGACCTTGACCTGGTGTAATCAAAGCACCCACAGGTTGGAAAGCCCTTTCTCTTTCTCTGCCCAGGGCCTGCACAAGGAGCCACTCAGAAGGAGCCCTGAGTACTGGCCACAGTTCTCCAAAGAAAAGCAGGCAGAGCCTGCCACCTTGTGGCTGCCTCTGGTCCTACAGCAGCCCTCACCAGACAGCACAGATCCTCAACTCTCCCAAAGACTCAGGAGAGAGTCTGAGATGCTCAGAAATAGACGTCTGAAGAGAAAAGATCCCAGGCCCTGATTTCCTTTCCTCTTTGTTTGACTCACAGTCCTGAATCTGTGGAAGCAGGTGCAGAGTGAGAAGCCCTGCCACTGGCTGCGATGGGAGAGGGCAGAGGCTGGAGCTGAGGAAGGGGCTGTACTCATGGGTGGGCCAGCAAGTCGTCAGGCCTGTGGAGTGATGACGCAGGCTAGATGAAGCCGATGCACCTGTCCCTACCCTAGCCCACCTCTCAGCCTGAATGTCCCCACCACGCCTCTTCCACTTCTGACGTGGTATCTAGGCAGGACCATCCCAAAGCAAGGGAGAGGACCTCATAATGTCACTGGCATCCCGGCCTCTTCACCTCCCAGGGGGCACTGCTGGATTCCACTGTTTGCAACCAGGCATCCAGGGCAGGGCACATGCAGCAGGCAGCCAGGTTAGGTGGACAAAGTTGCATCTGCATGAGCTGTTGGAGCTGACTCCTCACTCAGGGAGCACGGAGCTGGTCCGTGGACGTGGCCGGAATAAGCCATGCAGCTCCATCGTGTGCTTCCTCGGAACCACAGACTCGGGTCTGGTTAATAAAGCATCGTGGCTGACAGCACGGGCTCTGAGGCTCACAGACTTGTGGCGAGATCCAGATTCTGCCACTTAGCAGCTGGGTAATGTTGAGAGTTTCTTTAACCTCTCTAGGCCTCACTTTTCTGGTCTATATAATGATGATAACGAGGCTACTGAGAGGATTAAATGGCATGATGTTTGCAGAGCGCTTTCCCGGGACCTGGTGTAGATGCGTCTATAGGCGACAGTTGTGATCAGTACTGTTTTTGTTCAGCTTGCACCTCCAGCACATGCAGTGCTCCAACAGTGAAAACTAATGTGTAAACCATCTGTTATGAACTAAATGTTTGTGTCCTCCCCAAATTCATTTGTTGAAATATAACCCCCAATGTGATGCTATTAGGAGGTGGGGCCTTTGGGAGGTAATTAGGTCATGAGGGTAGGGCCCTCATGAATGGGATTAGTGCCCATATAAGAAAAGGCCAGAGAGAGCCAGCCCTGATGGCCTAGGGATTAAAGTTTGGCACACTCCACTTCAACGGCCAGGGTTCACTTCCCGGTCATAGAACCACACCACTTGTCTGTCAGTAGCCATGCTGTGGTGATGGCCCACATAGAAGAACTAGAAGGACCTGTAACTAGAATATACAGCTATGTACCAGGGCTTTGGGGAGGAAAAAAAAAAGAAAGAGAGAGAGGAAAGTTGGCAATAAATGTTAGCTCAGGGCAAATCTTTCCCAGCAAAAAAAAAAAAAAAAAAGGAAAATCACTAGAGGATGCTAAAGTCATATTTAAAACAAACAAACAAACAAAAGGCCAGAGAGCTAGCCCACTCTCTTTCCTCATGTGAGGACACAATGAGAAGTCGGCAGTTTGCAACCCGGAAGAGGGCTCTCACCAGAACCCAGTCATGCTGGCACCCTGATCTCAGATTCTAGCCTCTGAAACTGTGAGAAATGAATTTCCATTGTTTATGAGCCACTCAGCCTATGGTACTTCGTTATAGTAGTCCAAACTGACTGACACAGAGATTAGTAAGAGAAGTAGGGTGCAGTTATAACAAATACCTAAAAATATAGACACGGTTTTAGAACCAGGTAACGGGTAGAGGCTAGAAGAGTTTTGAAGTGCATGCCAGAAGAGCTGAGATTGTCTTAAATGGACTTTTAAAGGCAATTCTGGTGAGGGCTCAGAAAGGAAAGAGGAGAGCTATCGAGAAAGCTTCCATCTTCTCAGAGAATATGTGAATAATCACGTAGAGAAGGTTGGTAGGAATATGAATGGTAAAGGCCATTCTGATGAGGTCTCAGACAGAAATGAGGAACATATTATTGGACAATGAAGAAAAGGTGATCCTCGTTGCAGCGGCAAAGAACTTGGCTGAATTGTGTTCCTGGTCTAGCTTTTCGTGGAAGGTAGAACTTGGATGTGATGACATTAGATATTTAGCTGAGGAGATTTCTAAGCAAAGTGTTGAAGGAGCGGCTTGGCTCCGCCTGACTGCTTAGAGTAAATATGAGAAGAGAGAAATGACCTGAAGATGGAATTAGGAAGCAAAAAGGAACTAGAACTTAAAGATTTGGAAAATTCTCAGCCTATCCATATTGCAAAACGTGAGAAAACATCCTCAGAAGAGAACACTAGGGGTGTCACCAAGTGACCGTTTGATACGGAGATTAGTGTGGGTGTGAACCCCAGATTTCATCAGCTACCTCAGCTGGCAAACTGACAGACTGAACTGAAGGAGAAGGAGACGGGAAGGAATGAGGAGGGCTGTTGGACTTCTTGGATTCTGCAGGATGGGACCATAGAGCTCTTCTGCCGTGAACATGTACTCTTCTTCAAGACAAGGGAAGAATGGCCCCAAACGTGATTCAGAGATCATCACAGTTGCCTCCTCCATTTCCAAAGGGGGGCCCCTAGCCTTACTTTCATCGGGTCAGATGGCCTCTGCCCAAAGCTCTAGGGGTGGGGCCACGCAGCAGAACCATGATGGCATGACCCCTACCCAGCAGAGTCCAGCAGGAAATCCACCTCAGTGTGTCCAGAACACGGGACCTTCACCCCAGTGGGTCTGGAGGCAGAGCGTTGAGCCAAAGAGGATTCTTCTCAAGCCTTAAGATCTCATGGCGTTAGCATTGCTAGATTTTGGACCTGCTTGAGGACCCATCACTCTTTCCTTCTTTCCTCTCTCTCCGTTTTGGGTGGTATGTCTCTCCCTATGCCTGTCCTGTCGTTGTATTTTAGAACCACATAACTTCTCTGGTTTCACAGGTCCACAGCTGGTGAGGAATTTCTGCCTCAGGGTGAATTTTACCTTGACTCTCATCCATATCTAATTGAGATGATATTTAGATGACACTCTGGAATGTAGACTTCAGAGTTGCTGCTGGAACAAGTTAAGACTTTGGCGGCTGGCGGAATAGGCTGAATGTATTTTACACATGAGAAGGACGTGAAGTTTTGGGAGCCAGGGGCAGAATGTTATGAGTTGAATGTATCCTCCAAAAATTCCTGTGTTGACATCTAAGCCCCAAAGTGATAGTATTCAGAAGTGGGGCCTTTGGAGGTGGGCCTTTATGTAATGAGGGTGGGGCCCTCATGAATGGGATTAGTGCCTATATAAGAAGAGCTCAGAGAGCTAGCTTACTCTCTTTCCACCATGTAAGAACACAGTGAGCACTTGGCAGTCCATAGTCCACATGAGGACCCTCGTAAGAACTTGAGCATGCTGGCACCCTGCTCTCAGACTTCCAACCTCCAGAACTGTGAGAAAGAAATTCCTGTTGTTTAAGGCACCTAGTCTTTGGTATTCTGTCTAGCAGCCTAAAGACCACCCATGACAGAGGATTCTCAGCCCCTGTCTTAGTCAGCTTAAGCTGCCATAACGAAACACCATAGACTGGGTGGCTTAAACAACAGGAAATTATTTATTTCTCACATTTCTAGAGGCTAGGAAGCCCCAGATCAAGATCCAGCAGAATTAGTTTCTGGAGAGGACCCACAACCTGGCTTGCAGACTCACTGTGTCCTCACGTGGTACCGAGAGAGCTCTGGTCTCTCCTCCTCTTCTTATAAGGGCACCAATCCCATCATGGGGACCCCACCTCATGACCTCATCAAAATCCAATTACCTCCTAAAGGTCCCTCCTTCAGATACCATCAAACTGAGGGTTAGGGCTTCAACATATGGATTTTCGGGGGGACACAAACCTTCAGTCCATAACAGCTCCTAAATATAAACCCTAAATTTCTCTTCTGTCAACCTCCTCCCATACGTTTTGCTTTTGTCGGTTTGTCTTTTGCAGTGATGTGAGTGCCAGGAAAATCCTGCCCTCGCCCTGCCCCGTCCTGCACAGCCAGCAGCAGAGCCGCACCGGCGCCTTCCTGGAAGACAGGTCTGTGGTCTCCTCCTCCCTCTGACACCTGTGACAGCCCCTACAGTAGGCGGAGTGGGCCGAAATCACCAGTACACTTCCCCCACGACTAAAGGTGCCCCTTGTCCTATGGCTGCACAAATAGAACCCAAGGCCAGCCTCCACCCCGGAACCTGGGAACTCCCTGGGATTCTCACCGATGCTGACCCGCGGAGCTGGGGAATTTCCTCCCAGGGTTGCTGGGACCCTTTGTGGGCAGAGTTGCTTCCCATCTCCTTGTGAGCGGGTGTACCTGGGGCCATTAAAGGAAAAAGAGCCAGCCCAGGGGCAGGTCCAGCATAGCCCACTAGCCCCACCACTGAGACCCCAGGCAGGGAAGGACATGGCATTGACAAGCCTGGCCTCAGGCCTGAGAGCCATTCACTCCGGCCCTCTGACTAGGTGCCTGCACGCCCTTCTTCACCTGGCCCACCCCACTCTTCCCCCAAGGCAGCTCCACGCGGCGCCCTGCCTCAGTTCTGCTGTAGCACTTCTTGCTGAGCAGCAGCTGAACACCAATACAAAACCCTGTATTATATGCAATGTTCCCTGCCTTCCAACGGAGTGGGTGCTGTCCCCTGCTGTGTGGAGTCTCGGGTGTGAGGATGGACGCTGGGCAAAGCCAAGAGAGTACATTGCTCTAAATTTTCTTAAGGGGGATTTTATATGTACAGGAGTTGATGGAGAAAGAGGAGAGAAAAGGGCGCAGACATCCCTCCCTTTTTTTGTGTTTTTGAGGAAGATTAGCCCTGAGCTAACTACTGCTAATCCTCCTCTTTGCTGAGGAAGACTGGCCCTGAGCTAACATCCGTGCCCATCTTCTTCTACTTTATACGTGGGACGCCTACCACAGCATTGCTTTTTGCCGAGCAGCGCCATGTCCACACCCAGGATCCTAACCGGTGAAATCCGAGCCACCTAGAAGCGGAACGCGCGCACTTAACCGCTGCGCCACCGGGCCGGACCCCATCCCTCCCTTTTTAAGGAGATTTCCTGGAAATTGCACACAACACTTCTTATAAATCTCATTGGCCAGAACTTGGTCACCAGGCCACACACAGCTGCAAAGGAGGCTGGGAAATGTAGGGGCTTTTTAGCTGTGGCAACTTACTCAGCTAAATATTATAGTTCTGTTTTTAAGGAGAAAGTAGAGAATAGTTATCTCTGCCTCAGGAGCAACTAGCTAAGCGTGGTGGGGGATGGGGACACCCTGGGGAGATGTCCTAAAGGATATGACATCTAAGTTGAGTGCTGAAGGAGAGACAGTTAGGCCCCAGCTAGAATGGGCTTGGGTGGGTTAAGCTGCAAGGGGGTAGGGAAGCATGGTGGGGAGGGGGTAGAGAAGGTGGTGAGAGAAAGCATGTCCAGCCGTTTAAAGGTCTGGGGGAGAGCAGCCTGGGGGGAGGGGACAGCAAAAGCAAAGGGCCTGAGGTCGGAAGGAACTTAGTGTATTTGACTCACAGAAAGAAGGTCAGGTGGCCAGAGCGTAGTGGATGAGGAGCCAGATTGCTGTGGGATGGGATCACCCAGGGGTGGAGTTTGAATTTCATTCCAAGAGCGATGAGAAGCCACTGACAGGTTTAAGCCAGGGGAGGACATGACTCATCTGCGTGTGAAAGGATAGCTGAGGCTGCTCCACCGAGGAGGTGGAGGGAGAGAGGAGGAGGCAGCTGCAGTGGCCCAGCTTCCTGGGTGAGACGCAGTCACCGAAAATGGGAAGCACTTTGGGAAGGTAAGCACTGAGTCCAAAGGGAAGGAGTAGTAAGAGTGATATGTGGTTGTCCCCAGCATCCCTGCAAGGCCGATGTCATCCATCCCTCTCACTGGGGACAGCCAGACGGACTCCGACATCTTGGCATTCATCAAAGCCAGACAGAGCATTCTGGAGAAGAAATGTAAGTGTGCCTTCCTCCAGGGCCACCGGCACCCCGCTCTGCTCACCAACACTTGGCTGGGGAGGCGGGGGAGGGGTCTGGAGTGAGCAGTGAGGTGAGAAGGAAGTGGGAAGCTTCCCAAAGCCACAGGACTGGCCTTGCGGCCACTTCACATGTGCCCAGCCTCTGCTTCCTCCGAGAAAGCCTCAGAAGGCAGCATCAGAAACGCCAGGATGGGCCCAAGGCACGGCTGTGCCCGGCATAGGGTCTCTCCCTCCTCCAGATCTTCAGCTCCTTTTGTCCTTGTCCCCGAAGCCAGCACTCCTTTGCTCAGCCTCTCCAAACAGGAAGGGGTGGAGTGACTGTTTGGAGACTTGTTGAATCCCTGGCTGGAAATCTCGCTCTCCTGCCGGAGCGTGGTTCTTGCCAATGAGCTGTAGCTGGAAGGGCCACTTGAAGGCCCAGGCCTGAGGACACCGTAACAGTCGCAGAAGAAATATGTGTGATGTGTCAGACACCGGAAGAGAGACAGAAGGCCCTTTCCAGCCTTCATTGCTGACCTCCCCACTCTTCCTCTTGGCAGCTGCCCACATGCCCTTCTCCTGCCTTCCTCTCCCCAGAGAGCCACAAGAAGAGCCCAGGACCCCTTCCCCAGCCCCGCTTTAGTCTTAGCCAGGAATCCAAAGGCTACTAGACAGGCTTAGCATTGCTTTTACATGTCAACAAGGCTCCTTGATGGTTGAAACGGCAGACGGGGTCCTATAATGATGGACACCTGCCCTGCGGGCCATGCTCAGCTCCACGGCCTGCTCTCTGCAGTGTAGGCAGCAGGGGCCTTGCGCATGGGTGGAGCCCCCCCAGGGAAGGATGGCCTGTGCAGAGCAGGCTCTCTCACTGGGATGCCAGCCTGTTTACTGTCCTCTCTTCACCACCAGGATCAGCCACATCAGCACCATTGTCAGGGCTTCTCTGAGGCCTGAGACAGCTGCCACCGACTTGCTGTCACACCTTGACCACATAACTTGCCCTCTCTCATCCTCAAGTTCCCTGTCTAAAAAAGACAGAGAGAGAGAAAATTGGATTCGGTGATCTTCAAGGCCCCATCTAGCCCCCAAATACTCTAATGATATGTATTGGACACTGAACAGCCAATTGGTGAACAAACACTGTATTTATTGGGCACCTTCTGTATGTCAGGCACTGTACCAGTACTAGGGCCCTAGCAGTGAACAAGACAGAGTGACGTCCTTGACCTTCCAGGAGGAGGGAGGAAACAGATGATGAGCACGTCAACAGATACATAAGATCGTGCGAGGTGCTAATAAGTGCTATGAAATGGCTAAAATGAGAAGTGTCATGAAGAGCAACTAGGAAGACTGCTTTTAGCTGGGGCTCGGGGGAGGCACCTCTGGAGAGGAGAACTTTCAACTGATAGCAGAGAGATGAGAACGGAGCAGCCGTGCAGCGTTGTGTGCGTGAGCAGAAAGTGACGAGCCCTGAACGGGAAGGAGCTTTGCTTGGTCACAGGGTGGGAAGGCCAGAGTGGCTGGAGGGCTGAGCGAGGGAGCAGGGGCCAGACCACACGGGCCTGTGGGTGAGGGTAGAGGGCCTGGCTTCTATTACAGGTGCAGCAGGGACTCGGTGAAGAATTTCAATGACGGCGTGATATGGTCTGATTGGTGCTTTCAAGAGCTCACTCTGGCCTTTGAATGTGGTGTGGGTCGTAGGAGACCAGGAGGAGCACAGTTGCCGGGCTCCTGGGAAGGTCCAGGCAAGGGGTGAGAGTAGCCTGGACTTGCCAGCAGATTGGATCTGAGCTGTGAGGAAGAGAGGAGAGTCAGAGGGCTCCTGGGCTTCTCATCTGAGCAGTTAAGATGGTGGTGCCATTTCCTGAAAGGAGAGAGGCAGGGAGGAGTAGACATCAGAGGAAAGGAGCTGGTGGAGTCAGGGTTCTGGCTGGTCCATGCGAAGCTTCAGATGCCAGTGGAGATCCCGGGAGATGTGGAGTCGCCAGCTCACTGAGTCTGGAGCTCAGCAGGGAGGGCTGGATGGTGTGTAAAGCCATGGTACCAGGTAAAATCCCCTTCGAAGAGAGCAAATAGGGTTTCCAGTGCTGACAACAGATCCCTGAGGCACGATGACATTGAGGGAGATGGGCAGATCCAGCCAAGGATGCTGAGAAGGGGAGACAGGCTGGCAGAGTCCAGTGCTGCTGAGAGGTTGCGTAAGTAAGAAAGGACAGAACCTTGCTCATCGGCCGTTTTGCGTATCATGTTGGTCCTGGACCCTTTTCGTCAGGGGACTGGGAGAATGAAAACCCCATTGGACTATCTGAGGAGAGAAAGGGCGGGGAGAAAGCAGAGACAGTAAGTGGAGACAATTCTTCCAGGGAGTTTAGCTGTGAAGAGGAGCAGAGAAATGAGGCGAGGCTAAAAGGAAGTCAGGACCGAGGGGAGGGGTTGGGGTTTTGTTTTAAATGGTTAAGAAGACATGTTTCTATACTGAAAGGACTGGGCCAATAGAAAGAAGGAAACGGACGATGTGGAAAAGCAGACCAAACGGAAGGAGAAAATTCTTTGAGGAAGTGAGAGGCAATGGTGTCTGGGACACAGACAAGGGAGCGGTTGGCCTTGGAGCTGGTAGACCCCATCCCCTGTAACATATTCATAAAAATCAACCATCATTTCTCCTATCAAGAAACCTCCAAGTAAGCAGTGTTTTTAAGTTATGCTTCCTCAGCTTTTGTACACACAATAGAGACGTTATCATCCAACCCTCTCAGCAGAGAAGCAGCGTAAACCCATGGTCTGTGTCAGGATGGCATCTTCCTGCTAACACCGTGCCCGATGGCGCAGAGAGTGGGGCTGAAGGGCCTGTGTGAAATGTGGATGGCACGTTACCATGTATACAGTTTTTTCACTGATATTATTTCATCTGAGGCTCTCAACACTCCTGTAAGACGTACAGAGCCAGGAGTATGATCCCCCTTTTGAGAGGTGAGGAAACTGAGGCACGCAGAGATTGAATAACTTGCCCAGCTTACACACAGCAGAGGCCGGATAACCCAGGCTTTCTCTCTTCACTGAGCCACACTGCCTTGAAAAGCCACTCTGCTCCTGTCCTGGCCTCCACCCTCCGTGCGGCTGGGGAGCTTTGTTCTCCAAACAAACGGCAGCCTGGAAGTCATTCATCAAAACAAACAAAAGTTTGAGGGTTCCATTTTTATTCTGAAGGGAAGGAAAATAATCCTGGGTTCTTAGTGACCATGGGGCTGCAAAGGAAGCTGAAGACAGGGTGACAAAGTGTCCCTGTCCTGCTAGGTCAGGTGCAGCCTCTCCTGGCAGACGCGCGGCAGATGGCCCAGCCCCAGCACACAGCACTTTCTACACAGGCCACTTATGAGGCCTCCCTGGCAGGCAAACAGCAGGCCGGCCCAGCACCTTCCCCAGCCAAAGCAAACACTTCCCTCACCCGCCCTGGGCCCCCTCTGCTCTTAATTTAGCAGTGCTGTCTGTCTGGGCTTCTTCAGGAATGCTCATTATGGGGGATTTGTGACTATGGGCCTGGGAGCCCGAGCCCAGAGAGGGTGATTTAACATAAGCCGGGCCCACAGGCTTTCAGACTTCACCCAGGGCCAGGATGACTCTCCTTGATTTAGGATTCACAGAAAAGCTGTGGAAAGTTTAAGTCCCTGCCAGGGGCACGTGTGGACAGGTATATATCCCCCGTAAGGGGCGTTCGTCATCCGTGGTGTCAAATCCGCTATTTCTAACTGCCAGGGATGGTTTTTGAAGCTGAGAAAATGAAGTGAACCCTCTTCCAGAATGCTTTTTTTTTTTTTCCCCCAAATCTTCCTTAATCCCTCAGTTTGAAAATATTTCTATCTGGACAGGAGCCTTGGTATGACCCCCATGACCTCGAGGCCCTCTTCTCCAGCCAGTGCCAGGAGAGGCTCTGCCAGAGTGTCCCCTCGGCGCCCGCTGCCTCCACTCTGAGGAACCCCCCCCCAACCCCAGCTCTCTCCTCTGTTCAGGAGCCCTCCCAGGGAAGCAGAAAGAACCCAGCACTCAGGGCAAGGGCTGCTTCCGCCCCTGTGACCTTAGGCGGGTCACCTCACAGAGCCTCCCTCTCACGTCTGTTGACTTCAGCTTCCACCTTTGCCCGGGTGGTCAGCCTCTCCTGAGATCATGTCCATAAAAGTTCCTTGTAAACGGCCAAGCACCAGGAGCTGTCAGCGGGAAAAACTGGCCTCCGCAGATAGAACCGGTTCAACATGGTGAGGTGTGAGATTTTCTGGATGGTCTATTTATAGCAGTACCTTCTATTCTGGGAATCCACAGTCACAAAAATCCCAATATAGATGACAACTCCACGTGACTGGGGTTCATAAAGTAAAGAATGAACTGGAAACGGCACCCTTTATTTGGGGGTGAGGTCTGTGCATGTGAGGAACCGTGTCTTGGAGCACTGAATGCTCTGAGCCCTGCTCTGTGGCATTTCTTCCCAGCTTCTCCCACCCCTCCCCTAGTCATCACTGCATGCAAGTGTCTGGGGGCCAGTGACAGTCCTGGGGTGGGAGCCGGCTCAAACTCTGTGCTCCTTCCATTGGCAGCACTAACTAATCCTGGCCCAGCCTGCTTAGCAACGGTGCAGAGGAAACTCCATACCTATGACTTAACCATCAGCCATGTGCTTGGTGGTCCCCAGGGCCTGCCCTCACCTAGCAGAGCTGTGAACCCCGGGTCCAGAGTAACTGGAACACATCGCCTTCATATGCTCTGGTGTGCCTGATGTCCTTCCTTCCTGTCTTAGGAGTCAATCAGGACAGCGAGCAGTGTCTTAAAAATAAGGACCCTCTCTGGTTAACCAAATAGCAAGGCCAGCCGGGGGTCCTGCACACAGAATTAGATCTGAAGGACCAAGGGCTCCTAGCCTTGAATTGTTTTTGACCTCTTCCTTCCTGTCACCTTTCACATTCAATGTGTCACAGAGAATTACTGATTTTTCCCCGGCACGATCAAGCAGACTGCACCCACACTCCCCACCCACTGCCAGGTCCCCAAGGCCACGCTGGATGGCTGCAATGCCTCGCCCGCAAGATCTCTGCCTGCTGCAATTTTTTTAAAACATTATGCTCATTACTCCACCCAAGAATCTTTAGAAATGTCCTTTTACTTTTATTTGATAACCAAACTTTGAGCAAATTAACTGCATGTCACTCATAGCAGTTCACACACTTTAATGTGCCAGTGAATCTAGGGGTTTTGTTAAAATGCAGATTCTGATCCGGTAAGTCTGGATGGGGCCTAAGATTCTGCATTTCTTAACAAGCTCCCAGGGGATGTCAGTGCTGCTGGTCCAGCTTTGAGAAGCAAAGAGGCTTGCTGGTAACCTCGCTTTGTCCAGCGCCTCATCCGCCCCAGTGACTGGGAAATGAGGGAAGTGAGGACCAGGGCGCTGACACAATTTGCCAAAATCACATCACAGTAGGGGATCGTCCTGGCTAGAACTCAGGGGTCCTGGTTCTTAGTCCAGAGAACCCTTCTCAATGCCCAGCCATGGGAGGTGACAGGATGGGGCCACATGGTCAGGAGGAGCCATCCTGGGATATAATGAATATCTGGAGCAAAAAGCAAGGAGAGACTCTCTTGAAGAATGAAGTAGCAGTGTCGGTTGGAAAATGAGTGCTGATCCCGGCTCAGGGAGATGAAACTTCTGCAAAGGGCAAGGGAGGCATCTTCCTTCAGAGCTTGGGGAGTGAATGCAGCCCCTGGGAGTCAGGGCACTGAGAAGCGCACAGCCCAGACCCAGGAGGGGCGGCCTGCAGCCTCCTCCCCTGTCCTTCCATCCAGGGGGCAGTCAGTGCCCCCAGGCACAGCCTAACCAAGAACGTCCTGTCTCCTTTCAGGTCTCCAGTAAGTGTCCAGCCGTGCATTGTGGCAGCATCAATGAGTACAGATGAAGACACCTCCTCTCACTCTCCCTGTCTTCAGAAGTGATCTGTGCGCTTCTGGGAGCAACTAGTGGCTTTGATTCCAATGGTGGGGGGGGGGGGGGGGGGGGGGTTTTTTTTTAAGGATGGTGTCCTGGAGGCTGCCAGTGAGGCTGGGGCCTGGGCTTGCAATGACATCCTTGTTGCGGGTGCTGGAGCTGTTAGCTGCTAAGGGCAAGACGAGGGCTTCAGTACACTCTTGTAGTGGTGTTTCACCCAGATGATTATAAACCTTTGCGATTATGAAGTAGTGCCGTCATAACGTAGTGGCAGAGGAAGCTCACCCTGGTAGAATGCAGGGGAAATGAGAATAGGTTATTTTTAGCTATTTACCAGCCGACTCCTTTGCCCCATCCCCTGGTTTAGAAGCCCAGGAGTGGCTGGGGCAGGCCAGGCAGGAGGTCGGCGCTGAAGACAAGGCAGTGGAACGCAGGGCAGCTTGATGACCCATCCCCGTCTCCTAGACCAGACCCTCCACCATCACCCTCGTGGCCCCAGTGACCAGTAGGCAGTGCCTGAGTCTGCTGTTTCTCCAGGGAGCTGCCCACCCTGCAGGGTCGAAGGACATTGCAGCGCCCAGAGAGCGGTGGGCGGCTCCCAGGAGCTCTGCAGGGAGCTTGAGAGGGGCAGTGTGGGCACCTGGGGCCTCACACCCTCACCCAGCCACTTGGGGCTCTGCAGGATTTGGACCGAAACTCCTTGCTCCCACGGGGGAAACCCAGCTGCCTGAGGTCTTGCCTCAGTGAGCCCTCTCAGTGCTCCAGGCCCTGGCGCTGTGATACAGATCTGGGGACATGGGCCTCAGGAGGCCCTGGAGAAGCAAGGTTCTAAGCCAGCTGCCATCAGGGGAGGGGGAATGGAGGGTGGGAGAGGAATGCCACGTGGAAATGAGGCTACCTGAATACAAGAGATGGCCCCTGCTCCTTTCATCTCCATCCTATACGTACAGGACCTCCCCCCTGGAGAGAGGACAGGGAGAGACTGCAGTATAATTCGCTTATTTTTTATTACCCCCTTTGCAGGACTGGGTAAAAGGATCATGCAGAAGATAGATCACTGCCTTTCAAAGCTAGACAGACCCATAGAGCTCCTGTAATCCACAACCTCATCTGTACAATTAGAACTAAGGCAAAGAGGGGACCCGGGCTTGCTGATATACAGCTACTTAGTGGCAAGTGTCCCCTCCTCGGGAGGCTTTCCCCGACCACTTCGTCTAAAGTGACCCTTAGTGACTCTCTATCCCATTGCTCTGTTTTATTTTCTTCATCACTACCTGACACATCATCTTTCTCTATTGGCTTATTTTTTTATGGCCTGCAACGCCCCCACCCCACCCCACCCCAACAGACTAAAAGGCCCATGACAAAAGGGATCTATCTGTCTTGCTCATCACTGTGTCCCCAGCACAACTGAGTCAGCACTCAATAAATACTCCTTCACTTAACGAGTGGCAGAGCCAGAGCTCAGATCTCCTTCTCAGGCTGGTGTCGTTCCCATGACCTCACTCTGGCTCTGCGACTGAGGGCCATCAGGACAGGGCCTAGTCTCTCTGGTTCACTTCTGGCCCTGACAGTTCTATGGCACATAGTCAGTCCTCAATAAAGTCTGTAGAGCCAGTGGAAGGCCACATGGAGTCCCTACAGCCTGGTTCTCTTGGTTCCCCAAGAGTCCATGGGGCACACATGTAAATACACACAGACACTCTCAAGAATCTGGAAGATGGCATGGCATTGGCCAGAGTCCCTTGGAAACAGCGTCAGTGACCTGGCACACCTTGGCCCTCTAGAGTTGGTAAGAGTCTGTTGACTTTGGATCTCCTGCTGAGAAGGTCATCTCCTAGGTCCAAAGGCCTTATTGACAGAGATGTGTGTGCCAACCTGCCTCCTGGAGCAATCACTAAGGCAGGAAAGAAAATGAAGATGAGATAGAAAGGAACAGCTGGGACACTGGTGTCCTGCTAAGAGGGTCATGTGCAAAGTGTGTGCAGCAACTGGGGAGGGAGCCTCCCTCTCCAAAAGTCCCCTCCCAGTGAAAGCTGGCCTTTGATGGAGACACGTGCTTGACTACAGTGCATCTTCCCCAAAGTTTGTTGGCCTCTGAAAATGGAAGAAATGGACGAATCTTCCAAAAAGACTCTCCAGCAACCCACCTGGGGTCAGTGGAACCATGGAGGTCCAGAGTATCCAAGTTCACACCAAAATGTGGTGCTTCCCAAAATATCTTCTGGAAAGCAGCCTGCCAAGTGACTCTAGCCCAGGCCCTCCTCGAATTCAACTGGCTCTGCCATTCCCTTGATAGGAAGTGTTGGGGGGAGGGGAGGTTAGACAGTAGCTTGCTTAGATCTTGCAAAAAGGGATTTTCAGAAAACAGATAGAGAAACTGTGGTACGCTGAATGACTAGTCTTAATTCTTTACCCTCTGTAATAGAATTATACATCCAAAACTTGGTCATGGCCTCATGGGGCAGAGGATGCTTTTGTACCCCTTAAATTTGCCTTGGCCCTGTGACCTGCTTTAGTCAATGGAATGTTGGCAGACACGATGCAAGCAGAAGCTTGAAAGGTGCTTACACGGTTGGGCTTGCCTCTTGCCCTCCAGTGATCCGCCTTGAGAAGAAAATGCCCTGGGTAGGGGCTGCCCCTTCAGTTTATATCCCAGAACATACAGAGAACAGACCTGGGCCCAGCCTACAGCCTGGAGCCAAGCCCAGCAGACCTGGAGACTGGAGCTGAGTTTCCCCATCGAGCCTAGCCCAGGTCGGAGGGACCCTGGCGGACGGTTTATCATGAGAATAAATGCTTCTTGTCGTAAGCCACTAAGCCTTGGGGTGATTTGTCATGAAGCATCGATCGTAGCAATAGCTAACTGATACAGAAATTGAAACCCAGAGACAGTACTTGACTAGACGCAGAATTTCTCAGAGTTCATTCTGTCCCTCCATGCTGCCTGTTAAAGGCACCTGAGAGTGGGCTGCATATGAAAAAGGGAGACTGCCACGTATGGCCATGCTGGAGCAACAGGGACGTGATTTACCCTCCTGCTTTAAACAAGTGAAAAGTAGACAAAATGCATAAAACAACGGTTTTTGGACAGTGGATAAAAGCAGTACAGGACATTGCTGCCTAAGAGAAGAGAAACAAATGAGGTGAGCCCTACGATTGCCCCGACTTCCTGCCTGCAGAGAGCGTTCAGGCTGCAGCTCAGGAAGGGGGAGCCAGGTGGACCTAGTGGTTTCCTTGAGTTGAGGAAATGGAGCTGGGAGTCCAGGGAAGCCAAGGTGGCTGAAATTTGCAAGGCAGAGTACCAGAGATGAGTGAGCTCAGCCGGAGAGGGAGAACGCACTCCAGCATCTGCAGAGTCCTCTTGAGTCTTCAGCTAACCGCTGAGCAGCACATACATGTGAGGGAACCACCCAAGGCCCAGGGAAGAACCACCAGAAAGGAGCAAGCAGAACAACTTCCGGAGATAACACAGGGCTGGGAATAGCTCACGCTCCCAGGGGCCACAGTGCAGAAATCGCCTCCCTAAAGAGTCCTTGAATAGAAAACACAGGAGGGTATTGCCTGGGCACTGGGGCCAAATGAGCCCTACCTAGCAAAATGTGCAAAGTAAACCCCAAAAGAGTCAAACTGTTTCCATTAATTTTCCAAGTAATTTTACTGAGTCCCAAAACAAAGCTCAAAAGTATTTAAGGGAATAAAAGAAAATGCAGTACCAAACAACGTAGAAGTGGCATCCAATTAAAAATTACCAGGCATGAAAGAAGCAGGAAAATATGGCCCATAGGAGAAGAACCAACTGAGAGAAACAGACCCAGGAATGACACAGATGACAGATACAGAACACAGGGACATATTTTTATTTATTTACTTTTTTAATCATCCATCATCTGACCACATTGACAAGTAAGCTCTTTTTTTTTTTAGAGATTGGTACCTGAGCTAGCATCTGTTGCCAAACCATTTTTTTTTTCTCCTTCTTCTTCTCCTCAAAGACCCCCAGTACGTAGTTGTATATTCTAGTTGTAAGTGCCTCTGGTTGTCCTATGCAGTGCCATGTCTGCGCCCAGGATCTGAACTGGTGAAACCCTGGGCTGCCGAAGCGGAGCATGTGAACTCAACCACTCGGCCACAGGGCCAGCCCCTGGGACACATTTTTACATGCAGTGGGTGTGTGTGTTAAAAGAGAGGCAAGAATTCCCCTTGTAATGCCTTAAATATAAACATGACTCATACCTCTAGTCATTCTGTTAACAAGGATGTGTCATCCACTGTGCAAAATTCTGATGATCAGAGGTAACCAAGACAGAGAAAGTGCCAGCTTTCCTGGAACTTTCATTCAAATTCGGGAGACAGACAATAAAAAAGTAAAAGGGAATCTGAATTAAGAAGGAGTTGGGGGTGAGGTAGGATGAGGCCAGCCCTGGGCTCCCTGTCAAGGCTGGTGAAGAGTGTGAGCCAGGGCGGGTGTGGAGAGGCCAGCAGAACAGGAGGGCTCAGGATGGGGATGGCGGGCCAGGGGCTGGGTGAAGTGAGGAGGCCAGGGGCTGAGCTGTTGAAGAGGAACACAGAGCATGGCATATAGGGGCGTTGTGGGGATTTGGGCCGTGTCAAACTGTGGGGGAAGGAGTATTCCATGATGTGTGTGTGTGAGGGCAGCCAGGGCTTTAAGGCACAGCAGGTGTGGAAAGGTTGGCTATGACTATTGGAAGCTGAACATGTACGTGTAAAATGTGGGAGGGGGAAATAATGTTTCCTTTGTTTCACACAGGCTCCAACTCCTGTGTGAAATGTGGCCTTTGGATCCGGCCCTGGCTGCTTCTCTCCTGGCAAGGGAAGAGGCAGCAACCTTCCTTAGGGCTAACTGCTTCGTGTTGGGTTTCCGTGGCCGAGTGCCGGCCAGCAGGCTGAGCCCACTGACGCACATTGAGGGGGAACTCACAGCACAGAGCAGGAGAAAGCCAGTCAGGCTCTACTCCCTCTCAAGTTGCTCAGCTCCTTGTCTCAAGGAGGCAGCCCTTTCCCGGACCAGCCCCGTTCCCCGTCTCGCCCCAGGTCTGAGGGACTATTGTCATCTTCCCTTCTCTGAAATATCTTTTGATTTTGCCTTTTCCATCACTGTCCTTAGACCCAGACAAGGAGATCTCCTCAGCCCCATGCCTCAGAGGGCCCTGCACTTGGAAGCGCCTTGCTAGAAACTTTCTACGTCTCCCTCCGGTGGTGGGACCTGCCATGGCCAACAGTGTCATCCATGCCAACCACCGCTAGCCCAGACCAGGTCCCATGTGAACCTCGGTTCCCTTTTTGCCCTTCAGAGGGCTCTTCAACTCACGCGTGGGGTTGGCCACATGCCCCAAGGTGCTCCAGGATTCATGCCTGTGGAGTGGTCCTGGGGCCTCTTGGTCGGTCCCTGGTTCCGGGAGAACAGCCTGATGAGCAGAGCATTCCTGTGCATGGTGCAGCCTTCCTTTGAGGGCATTGCTCGAGATTTCCTTTGAGGGCATTGCTCGAGCTCGGGCCACCACAGTGGTGCTGACATGCTGACTGGAGTGACTCTCACAGTCAGACGTAGGACAAAGAATCTTCACGTGCACTAATTAGACAACAAACAAACCCGTAAGTCGCTCTTCTCTGCCATATTCTAAATCTTCACCAATAAATCACTATAGCTCACATGGACTCGTGAATTTGGTACATTTTTTAATCAAATTGCTTATATAGACAAGGGTCCACAGAAAACATTTGCCAGGACCCCACACCCAGGAGCAGCCGTGGCCTCTACTCTCAGCTCCTCAGTTCATTGTCTCTCCCAGGCCCTGGGGAGGCTCTGCTCCTCCCTGGGGCCAAGGTGAAGTCCGTCTTGGTCACCATCCCTCATCTACCTGCTGGCCTGGCTCTTCCCAGGCTTCTTGCTGCTTTAGCTCAGTGCCTCTTGCAGCTCTGAGTTTTTTTCCTTAGTAGTAGAGGTAAAGAAAAGCTTCTTTAATGTGGGGTGTCCTGTGGATCCCCTAACAATCCTCTTGCCTTTTGCAAATTTAGGGGCTATCGAGAGATAGGGGCATGGACCTCCCACTCCTGTCCTTCTCCGAAGGGCGTCTGCCTGATGCGCCAGGACAAGCTGACCCACTCCTTCATTAAGTTCCACAGAGGAGCTATTTCCCTGCAGGAGTTACAACTATGGGGCCTCAGAAAAGGGGGCGAGAACTAAAAGTGCCAGACACTGGCAGTGCCCTGCCCATCTCCCGCTGGCCCCCGGGAGGTCACGTGCGGCTGCAGTGGACAGTGCCCATCCACACCAACAGCTTCCGGTCTCCAGCACCTTCGTGTCTCTGCCTGAAGCTTCTCATGGGCCACAGGAGCACTGTCAGCCCAGGGCAGGCAGGCGGGCACTGCAGGAGTTAACCACCCAACTAACGAGGGGCGGGACTTGGTGGGTAAACACCCCAGCTTCCTTGCCGCCCTGTGGGACAACTCTAAAGTGTGCCCTAGAGGGTCTCCCAGGGGTCCCCAGCGAGGTCAAGCCCCAGTGGCCCCCTGCAGTCACCCCCTCAGTAATGCACCCCATATGGGCCGCCTTTCCTCCCCATCTCGCTTCCCTACTCTCTTGGATCCTTCTGAGGGTCACCCCCCAAATGAGCTGCTAACACCCACATTTCGCCTCAGGGTCTGCTCTGCGGCAAGCGCAGCTCAGCAAGGGCACTACTTCAGAGTGCTGGGTGGGCGCTCCTGCAGTCAAGCCCTCTGGGCTGGTGGAAATGAGAGCCCCCCAATTTTAACCAGAGCCCCTCTCTGACCTGCATTCACCTCGGGGCTTAGGGAAAGATTTCGTGTGAGAACGGAATCCTGCCTCTCCAAAAAGCAATGGAAATTTCTGAGCAAAATCAATAAGAGATGTAGGGGGGGGCGTGTGCGAGTGAGTGAGTGTGTGTATGTGTGTTTTGAGCCTTTCCCTCGGGTCACCCTCAGCTTTCCCCATCCTCTCTGCTGATCACACAGTTGGGCTGGACATCCCCTGAGATCATACTCCTGGCCATGAGGGCAGACAAAGACCCCTACAGACCTGCCCCACCCCTGCCTCCACCCAGGATGCCCTCCTGTACCCTCCACTGTGCGGACACCTCCAGGAGCCCAGACAACCCCATGCAGAACTTGTCGCTCTGGCCCCGTGGTGCCATCTCTTAGGTGGACCCAGTTAGGCGGCAGGATCTGAAACCAGGCTCCCTTTCTCCGCTGGCCCTTTCCCCTGCAGATGGCGTACCCAGGCGAGGTGAGCCTTATTTGCTCCCCTTAGTTCCGGTTTGGAAGGGGCCCCCTCTCATTTGTGCCTATTGAGCGACTCCCTAAGCGAATACCGATGTTGGACGGTGGGGTGGGCAGCCTGTCCTTTCCTTATCTCAGGGCTCATTCGCATGGAAAGGGGCCCGTGCCCAGCTCTCTGTTTACTCTGCATTCTCTGCCCATTGTACATAAAATTGATCTGGGGGGGTTTTGTTTTTCTTCTTTTTCCTCCAATCTCCTTATTAGTTCAGGCTCAGAAAGTCCCTTATCACTGCCGGATGTCAGGCCACGCTCTGCCATCAGGCCTGGCCATGGCAGACTCTCCATTAATTGATTTTGCCCTCCCACCTCGGGAAGCACAAATTGGCTCTGCCCATTAGCAGCAATAATTCCCTGAAAGGGATTATAAATCATGCTCCGTGTCCATCCACAGCTCACAGTGGGATGGTGCCCCCGTGGGGAGGTGTCAGGAGGGCAGATGGAACATCTGATGGGCAGGGAGGCCCCTGCGGGCCTGCAAGTCCTCTCCTGAACCTCACCCAGTGAGGCCGCCGCCAACCCGGAGGAATAGCTGGAACACGTCCCAGGGCACAGAGGCGCTGGATTCGTGGGTACTGACTGAGCAAAGGCGGGAGGGAGGGGACGGGGCTTCCTCCAGGTGCAGAGCGCTTTGAGGACCTCCTGAGTTGACCCCACCCACCAATTCCACCATATGTTACCATTCTTTGGCTCTGCAGCCTTGAGGTTTTCAGAAGCCCCCCATTAAACTGGACATGCTCCCCAGAAAGACTCTACCCTAAACTCTAGTCCAGTAATGCCTTGCCAGCCTCCAGATGGTCTGTAAAAACCTGAGCGTGAGAGGAGGAGACAGGGGCGCACCCAGAAGAAAGCAGAGCAGAAGGAGCAGCAAAAGAGGGGAGCAAGCGTAGCCAAGAGAGGTGGGAGGAGGCCCCAGTTCTGGCCCGCTTGGCCAGCATGTCGGAGCTTCTCAGTGGGTCTCTAAATGAATGGAGCACTTGGCCCACAGGGAGCCTGCCTGCGACCACTCCCTGCCCAGGGCCTGAGGAAGGGAGGGCTCCAGTGATGGCTGATGCAGCCCTCCCTCCACCCCAACAGGTCGCACATGTCCCCCTGGCCCACTGCCTCCGCCCTTTCTCCCATGCAGATAGTCCATTCTCGCTCCCTCTCTTCCTTCCACCGTAGAACAGCCACTATTACCTGTGGACAGAGTCCAGACCCGTCGAGGGTACTAGGGCTAAGAGGTTGCTAAGACCTGCCTGAGATCCTCCAGACATCAACGGATGAGCTTTCTAAATAGGACACAAGAGAAACCTTCACATATGGAGCTTCTCCAGGGCAATAAAATAGGACTTGGTTATCACATGGCCTTGCAGGTAGAACTGCAAGCCCAGCTTATAGCCAGGAACTAGCGGGTCTGCAGGGCAGAGATGACGGCCGGCACGCTTGCCCACTCTCGCCAAAGCACGAGGAAAAACCAGTCAAGGGTGAGTTCTGTGACTCCAGGTGCTTTCTTGTTCCTCCAAGACAAGCCCGCATCCCAGCATGGTGCTGTCTGGGAAAGCTCTGGGTGTGAGGAGGGCCTTGTACAGGACGGCTTTGGACCTCCGGGGGTCTCAGGGATCCCAGAGCCAGCAGGATTGCAGAGAAGGCAGCTGCCACCCCAGACAGGGCCCCACCTCAACCCCAGGATGGGTGAGGTACCATGGAGGACCCCTCGGCCTGCCCGTGGCCCTTCTGACAGCATCAGGGTTTTCCTAACACATAGCCCCCACTTCCTGCTTGCACCTCGACTCCCGTTATTTGTTGTTGTTCTGGTTTGCACCTAAGAGCAGATGAAGAACCCTATGTCACCACCACTCCCTTGAGCCCCCTTGTTTTTATTTTCCATAAGAACTCCCCCTCCTTACAGAAACCATTGTCACTTGTCCCGGACATACTAGCCACATGTCTGCCTCCCCATCACCCCTTCCAAGGGACACCTGTACCTGTGATGCCCCCAACCCCCGGCTAAGGCCCTCGGCTGAGGGCGGGCCTGACCCAAGGACAGCCCATCCTCAGCCATGAGGTGGCCGCATGAAAGGGGGCCTTGCACTCTCAGCCTCTGAGAGGACTTGAGCCAAGAAATACCAAGAGAAAGAAGCAGAGGGCAGTGGGAGCTGAGGCTGACCAGATGTCAGGGTCAGCCTGGGGCAGAACTCCAAGGCAGAGAGACAGGGGCAGAGCAGAGGGATGAGGGGAGGGGCGCCCCTGAGGAGAGCAGGCAGGCACACTGATGGCGGGTGGCTAAGAGTGAGGACGCAGGCCCGGATGTACCAGAACTCTGGCTGCTCCTAGCTTCCTGTCACCAATTACCTGAGATAACTGGAGTGTGTTCCTATTCCTTCCAATTCAAACAAGCCTTGAACAATTGAAAAAAGCCAAAACTTATGTAACTATTGGGAAGCGACAGAATATCTAACAGCGGCTTAAACAAATAGGGTTTATGTTTCTAACATTTTTGAAATCTAGAGATAAGTGTGTGCGGGAATCAGCTGAGCATCTCTATGATGCTCTTGATCTTTCCCTCACCGACACGAGACGGCTCAGCAGGTCCCATCACCTGTGCATTCAGGGCAGACAGAGGGGGAAGGGTGGGGCTGGCTGCCCTGAACCCTCTGTCAGGATGGAACAATGCTGCCCACACCACCACAGCCCACTGCCCAGCTCTAATTGGCCAGAACGGGGTCACATGGCCACCCCAGCTGCAAGAGAGCTTGGAAACTGGGTGCAAGGGAGACTGTCAATCTTCTGATCCCCTCCCCGTTTCCGTGACCGTCTCCCCCTCTTTAATGTATTGTTGCTCCCATGGCCTGGCCTGCACCTGGGACTCCTCAGGGGACTGTCCACAGGCTACTGGAGCCATTTTGCCTGCAGGTGCACAGAACCAGAGATACCCTAGTGACTGGCTGGTCTGGGCCTATGAAAGCCTGGCTCCCCTGCCTCCACTTCGGACTAACCAGTGTGCTTTAGCCACCAGGGCCCCCAGGAACCAGGCTGAGCTGGGACTGGGGTGCCTCATTTGGCCTGCTTGCCCCACGCCTCATGGGTCTGCACGCACTCCACTGCTCCTACACAACGCCCCTCTCAGGGCTGCTCCTGGGGGCCTGGCCTAAGGCAGCACAGAGCAGGAGTACCAGATGGGCGAGACCGGTCATGCCCACTGCCAGCAGCTGACGTGTACAAAGCGGTGTTGCAGGCAACTCCTGGTGTCCACTGCCACAGCTCATTACAGGTGATGTCACCAACACGAGCAGAGAACCAGGAACCCCACTCACTGCTGGTGGGTCTGTCAAATGGCACGGCCTCTGTGGAGAACAGTCTGGCAGTTCCTCAAAAAATTAAACGTAGAGTGACCAAATGACCCAGCAATTCCACTCCTACGTATATACTTGAGAGAAATGAAAACTATATCCCACAAAATCTGGCCCACAAATATTCAGAGCAGCATTATTCATAATAGCTGGAAAGTGGAAACAGCCCAAATGTCTATCAACTGATCAATGGATAAATAAAATGTAGTACATCCAGACAATAAAACATGATCAGCCATAAAGAGGAACAAAGTACTAATCCATGCTACGAGATGGATGAACCTTGAAAACACTATGCTAATTGGAGAAGCCAGACACAAAAGGCCACATATTGTATGATTCCATTATATGAAATGTCCAGAATCAGGAAATCCATAGAGACAGAGCAGGTTAACGGTTGCCAGAGGCTGAGGAGGTGGGCCAGTGGGTGGAGGTGATAGCTAAGGGGTACGAGCTTTCTCTTTGAGGTGATAAGACGTTCTAAAATTGATGGTGGGGATGGTTGCACGACTCTACAAATACACTGAAAACCATTCCATTGTACACTTTAAGTGTGTGAACGATATGGTATGTGAATTACATATCAATAAAGCAATTGCAAACACATACACACACAAGCAAAGAAAAGAAAGACAGGAAAAGCCCCCCGTTCTACCCATAGTCACCGTCAACACCCAGGCCAGGATATACTGTTAGCCCTTTTTGATTCACCCATACGTCTCCCCAAAGCATTCTCCTCTGAAGGGAACTGCTAAAGCACTTCAAGCAAAGAAAATTATCAGCAAAAGCTATGAAGCAAATGCATCCAATTTATTAGGCGCGTCAACCTGATCCCATCCCTGATGGAGACGGTCGTTTCTCTATTTGCTTTGCCCTCATTTGTCACCCAGCCTACTCATCCTCGGGTTCCCCCAGTCGGCAGGTCAATTCTCCTGGCCCCATTTCGTAGCCAAGGCAACTGAATACAAGGTTTATTCACACCATTCTGATTTCTTCCCAGCTCCGAAGGTTGGGGGCTTGAAGCCTTCCTGGTGAAAAGCTGGAGGCTGTCTAGGGGTCCATTTGGGCCTGCAGAGCAAAGGGGAGCATCAGAGTTAGCCCAGAAACACTCACCCAACTTGAAAGGCAGAGGGTGAGACACAATGACCTCAGGAAGACCCGGTAGGTCTCTTTGAGGGGTCTGTGCCTCTGACTTGCTGCTCTCCATGGAAAAAAAGCCGGGTGGGTGGGGGGTGGCAGGCCTGTTTGCACTCAGTGGCACTTAGTGCAGCCAAGCTGAGCCGCACTGTTCAAACAGACTCCCCAGCCTCCAGACACCTGTGCCGAGGAGGGCGAGGCAGGCAGGAGGCTGGGCGCAGGTCCCTGGGCGCTGACTCCTCACCTTCTTCCCGCCTCTCCTCCCATAGCCAGCCCCACAGCCCTGGCAGAGTCCTGGCTACACCATGCCCCGCGCTAGGCTCTTCAGCTGCTGGGGTAGCAGGCTCCTGCCCCTGCTGCTGGCCTATATCTGCTACCTGCTGCTCGGCGCCACCATCTTCCAGGCGCTGGAGAAGCAGGCAGAGACTCAGTCCAGGGACCAGTTACAGTTCGAGAAGCTGCGCTTCCTGGAGAACTACACCTGTCTGGACCAGCGGGCCCTGGAGCAGTTTGTGCAGGTGAAGGGGAGATGCTGGCGTGGGATGGTGGGCAGAATGGGGGTTCTCATGGCAGGTGCAGAGCCACCCGTAGGGCTGATGCCCCATTTGGAAGCAGAGTGTGGTGGGAACAGGGAGCCAGATGAGACCTAGTGCTGGATTCTAGCCCCAGGTCTACAACTGGATGGCTTTGTGACATTGGGCAAGTCACTTAACCTCTCTGGACTCAACTTTCTTCATCTATAAGATGAGAAGAATAATCATATCTGTGCTGCAAACATTTGGCAGCCAATTAAAAGCACTTTCTAAGCTGCTACTTGCTGCATAAATGTGCACTGTGCGTCAGTGTTATCAATGCTGTGCAAATTTCCTTCTCCGGCACTCTGCACTTCCCCGACTCAAATCCAGGGCTGCTGCTCCTCCTCTTTTCTCTCCAGCTCACATCCTTGTGCTGACCACACTCGAGGGCTGTGTGTGGGAGACAGATAAACGTCAGGAGCAGCCACCATGCTGGCCCTCCCCAGCCGGGTTCCACCTGGAGCTGGGCTTGGTGAGCAATGGCCGGGGTCACTGGGCTCCAGCAGCACTGTGTCCATGGAGGGGAGTCTCTATGGTGGCAGGGCGGGTCACCCCCTGCCTGGGCCCCTTCTGCTTCCCTGCACAAACTCTGGCACCCCAGCACCCTCTCTACCAAAAGCAAGGCAAAGCCTGGGTGTTGTCGGGGAAGGTGAATGCATTCAAGACTAGGGATCTAGTGAATGACAGCACCCACCACAGAGGATCAAGCCGGGTGCAGACTCATCATGATGATAATTGGCATTTATAGAGCATTGACAATGTGCCTAAAACAGTGGGGCACAGGATCACCAGGACGGAGCTAGACCAGTCATGATCCAGCCCCTGGGGCCAAGCATTTTACATGTGTTTCCTCATATTTATCTATTACTATCATTATCTCCAGTTTGTAGACGGGAACTGAGGCACAGAGAGGTGCAGTATGTTGGCCAATGCTGCAGTTAGTGGTAGATACAGAACCTGCACTCAGGCTGTACTCTCTTCGCCATGCAAATTAGCATAAGTGTGGGGGCAAGATACAGCCTGGAGGAGCAGTTCTCAAAGTGTGGCCCCTGGACCACCCACATCAGCATCACCTGGGAGCTCCAGGTGATGCTGAGGCCCCCTCAAGATGGAGAACAGCTGGCCTAGAAGATGATAGGTGGGCTGGGCGGTCAGAGAGAACCTTCTGGAGCTGTGAGAAACCTATCCAGGCCCTTTCTTCCAGGAAACGAGGCCTCCAGGCTCAGGCTTCACTTCCTTCCTCCCCCGCAGTACAGGGCTGAGAAGGATTCAGGAGACTCCCAAGACCCCAGGAGGCAGGGCAGAGGCCCTGGAGGCCCTGGAACCTCCTCTGTCTCCCAGCCCAGTGTTAGATGTGAAACCCAGGAGCCGAGGGTGTGGGGAGGATTGGGAGCTGGGCTCCAACTAGCTCTGTAAATAGAGGAATGAGGCAACAGGTTGACTGCAGCCCCAGGGTGGCGCCACTAATTAACTGCTCCTGGGGGCTTCCCCAGGGGAGCCAGGACACCCCTGCCCCTGATGTCCTCAGCCTCCTTTGGAGCGACCATTACTGGCCAGGGAGTCTAGCTGAGAGGCAGAAGAATGCTGGGATGAGATTCCGGAAGAACGCACATTACTGTTAAAATCACAAGGAAGAAGAAAAGTTGTAAACAGTACTATAAAAAGCTATAAAAGCAATATTGAAGACTGACTCCATGAGGAAACAAGGCCTTGCCCGGGTTCACGGGACTCGTGCCTGACTCTCTCCACCACACGTGGCTTCTTGGAGGAGGACGGAAGGTCGACATTTGGCACCCCACCCTCGGTACCCTCTCTGACATCAAGGCCCCTCCTCAGTGGGATGGGGGGCCTCAGCTTGGCTGAGGGGGACAGCCCAGGTCCAGGGCAAGTGCTGCTCCCAGGGTGAGGGTCTCCAGGGAGCGGTGCATTCTAGAATGTTTGGTCCTGGCCTCTCTGGGTGTGTGGGAAAGCGAAGGAGGCTAAAGTTCACATTTGAAGAGGCCAAAAGTGAGGAGGAGCAGACAGGCTGTGTCAGGATGCCTGAGCAGCCCTGGCCCATTGGGGCCACCCCCACCCTGGCCGGAACACGCTCACCCGGCCAGTGGGAACTGGTTCCCACAGGAACGAGAGGCAGGAGCTGCCCCTGCTCCACCGCCTCCTGCTGCCTTTGGGCCTCTATCAGGTGACAAGGCTGCGCTCCTGCCCTGGGACAATTCACAGCAGATGGGGAAGGAGCCCTGCCCATCTCCAAGAGGGCTGGCTCAGGGACAGGGGGCTTAGGCTGCAAGGGTTCAGGTTCTGTAAACACACACTCAACACACACATACACACAAAACATGCACACACATTACATATAGTACCCATGCACATGTCACATGTATACAACATGCCACCCATATATGCCACCACAACACACACACACACGCACATGTATCACTTTTGCCCTGGCCTCTGATGGAATTTTTCCTGTAGGCCTGGGCTGGGAACTAGAGGGCAGCAAAGAGCAAGGCTGCCCACTCCTCTGGAAGAACAGAGAACGCTGGGTTCTCCGTCCCCCGCCATCAGCCGCCTGAGCGGGCAGCCCCATGGCTTCCCTGTGGTCCCCAAATCCCATGTTCCCAAATAAACCCTTCCAGGAACATCCAACCTGAAATCTTCACATTGTCCTGACAATCCATTTGCATCTCACCCTCTTGGCCATGGGCAGCATCTCCAACCTGGACCACTCCTTCGGCATCCTCCACCTCACCTCCTCAAACCCACTTCCCCTCCTCCAGCCCACACTGGCCACTGGAACAGGCAGTGGACTTGGAATCCAATGATCTTGGCCAGGTCCCTTGGTCACTCTGAGTCTTAGTTTCCTTTTCCGTGAAATGGGAGTGAGATGACACAAAAGCCCCCTGCTGAGAGCTTGGCCAACAGCAGGTGCCATCAACTCCCTCTTCCGCTCATCCCCGGCTATCCCCCCACAGGTCATCATGGAAGCCTGGGTGAAGGGCGTGAACCCCAAAGGCAACTCCACCAACCCCAGCAACTGGGACTTCAGCAGCAGCTTATTCTTTGCCGGCACGGTTGTCACCACCATAGGTAAAGGGTCCGGTGGAGAGGGGCTTCCTCAAAGCCTGTCTTGCTTTGGGTTCTCCAAAGCAGATGCTGAGACAAGGATGTGGTTTATCCAGGAGGTGGTTCCAGGAAGCATGAGTAGAGAAGTGGGAAAGTGAAACAAGAGAGAGAAAAGGCAATAAAGTGTACATTGATGAGCAGGCCACTGCATAGGGCACCTGGGCTCGCTGCCACCGGGGACCCTACGAGAAGCCAGTAGAGCCCATCCTCAGAACAGGCGCTTTGAGAGGCGAGAAAGCAGGGGTATTCATCTACCCACACCTGCCCTGGCTGGCTGAGAGCTGATCTTGCATGTAACACCCCAGCATTAGGGACCTGCCCACACACCAAGTGCCCTCCTGAAGCCAGAACAACCTCTCTGGTAGAGAGAGATGCAGGGACTTGGGGTGCAAAGTCATCTATGAGCACAGAAACTGCTCCCCCCAAGCTTCGTGTGATATCCCTGTGTTCCAAGGGGACCGAGCACTGATCGTCTGCTTTGCCCCCTCAGTCAGAAAACACATCCACCTCCTGAAGGAAACCCCTAGACCCCTGCTAACCCTGGTCTCCCCCAGCCATTCAATTCAGTCCAATGCCACACACTTTCCTTAAGGTCAGGTGAGACTTAAGGCAGAGTAAGGGAGTGGGGGGTATGGGGATATGAACTTGGATCCAGGCTCGGCCCCCAAGGAGCCTCCAAGCCAATGAAGAGGGATAAGGTAAGCACACCAAAAACAATAACACAAGGTGAAGTAGATAAATAGATAGGAATGACACAAAGCACTATGGGGAGTCACATCTATTCAGGAGGAGGAAGGAGGGCTTCCTGGAGGCAGTGTCATTGGAAATGAGCCTTCAAAGACAAGCAGGATTCTTATAAATAGAGATCATTCTAGCAGAGGGTGGCAAGAGCGTTCATGGGAACAGGGGAACCTCCCCTTCTCCCCCCAGAGGTGATGGAAGACTAAGTCGGCTAGAGTCTGGTGGGGAGGGAGTTCTGAATTCTCATCCTTAATTTGCACACTCTCCCTCCCCCTGCAGGATACGGGAACCTGGCGCCCAGCACGGAGGCAGGCCAGGTCTTCTGTGTCTTCTACGCCCTGGTGGGTATCCCACTCAATGTGGTCTTCCTCAACCACCTGGGCAGAGGACTGCGTGCCCACCTGGCCACCCTCGAGGGGTGGGAGGACCAGTCCAAGCGCTCCCAGGTACGGGCCCTCCCTCCCTACAGCCCTGCTGTGACGGAGTCTATTGCAGGTTGAGTCCTCCAGAAGCCAATACTGAGACCAAATTCGGCAAGCTGGGTATTAGGGGTAGATGCCTGTGGAAGCAAAGGGCAGAGGGAGAAGCTGAAGTTCAATGCAAGCTGGACAAAGATCTGGCCAACCCCTCGAGGAGCTCTGCAGTGTGTGCAGACGATCGGTGTTGGCCCACAGTAGGCTGAAAAGGCCAGGACTTTATACCCCTGCCTCAATCAGGCACCAGGGTGGCCTTCCTGGGAAGGGTGTGCCCTTGGGCCAGGCAGGTCTCTGTAGCTGAAGTGCCCCCTGAAGGAGCTGACAGCTGGAGGCCACCTGCTGACAGCTGGTCAACGTGGCGCCTTTCCGTGGTCATCACGGAACTCCAACATCCTTTCCTGTGGTTGAAACAAACTCCAGGCCACCCAGCATGCCCCCAGTTCCCACCTCACTGGCCAGTCCTTTGCAAAGCCAGGCACGCTAGGAGGGGAGGAGTGCAGAGGAATTTGGGACAGTTCAGTGACATTCCTCTATCCCAGATCTGAGTCCCTGAGAGGCCTGTACAAGTAGATTCCCAAGCCAAAAGGGGTCTCCAATTTCCAACTTGACCCCCGAACGCAATCCCTCTGGCCAGATCTTTTCCTGAGCCAGGCAGGATTACGCACACTTGGATACCAGCCCCACCCCAAAGGTCTGCGGGGCAGGGAGGGGACCCAGCTCTGACTCAGCCCCACTCCCAAATTTGCCCCAGGCACCCCACCATACAATATGGGGCCTTCCAAGGGGACTCAGAGACAGATTCCCTCCCTCCCAGATACTGCAGATCCTGGCCCTGACTCTGTTCCTGATCCTGGGGTCGGTGCTCATCCTCATCTTCCCGCCCATCGTCTTCAGCCACGTGGAGGGCTGGAGCTTCAGCGAGGGCTTCTACTTTGCCTTCATCACTCTCAGCACCATCGGCTTTGGAGACTATGTCGTCGGTGAGAATGAGGCAGTCGCATAGCTCAGGGTGGAGGCCACCAGGGTCCGGGGTAGGGGGAGATGTCAGTGGGTAGGGGAGGGAACTTCTGAGGATCTGACAGCCCTCGTTATTTGGGAAACTGATTTCTGAGGCTGCTGTGGATTCTCACATCGTCCTCAGAAGTGGCTGGTCTGGGACCTGTCATCTTTTCCCCCAGGAACCTCCATTGCTGATCCTTGTTATGGGGGGACTGGTGGGGTCCCCTGTGGAACCTGGGGGGTACTGCACCCTCAGACCTCTGGCATTTATCATGTCCCTCTTCCCTACCAGGCACAGACCCCAACAAGCATTACATCTCAGTGTACCGGAGCCTGGCGGTCATCTGGATCCTCCTGGGCCTGGCGTGGCTGGCACTGGTCCTCCCACTGGGCCCCCTCCTTCTGCACAGGTGCTCCCAGCTCTGGCTGCCCAGCAGGAGCTTCAGCATCAAGGAAAGGGGAGCCCCGGAGGCTGATGGGCTCCCCAGACCTCAGAAGATCCCCGTCTCTGCATGAGGCCCCCAAGTGGTCCCAGGAGCCCCTCCCAGCTCCCATCTGCCTTCTGGATTTCCTATACCACCTACTCCTCTCCCAACCCTCTCACCCCCAAGCTAGGGCTGGTCTCAGGAGTTCTCTGGAGAAATAAAAGAGACAGGAGTGTCCAAGAAAGTAACAGGAAGGAGATGTAGAGACAGGATCAAAGACAGACATGTGCCATCGTCCCCGCACCCCAGCCCTTTTTCCCTCAAAAGTGATCTGGAAAAGTGGAATCCAGATATGTATCATTGTGGTCCAATCTCCACTGCCATCCACACACCTCCCTCCCAGGAGACCTGATAGAGGACAACAGATGAAGAGAGACTTTATTTTTGCCTTATTTGCTATGTGCACAGCATGCATTTCTTAGGCCCCCACTGTGTGTCAAGCACTGTGCCAGGCTCTGGGGTACGACAGTGAAAGTGACTGCCCTCCACGTATGTTTAGTCAAACGGAAGGAGTAACAAAGCAGAGAGGACACCCCAACCCAGTGCCCAAAACACTATGCCAGGGGCAGACTGGGGCGTGCCTGAGAGCCCTGGGAGTGGCTGGCAGGGAGGGTTAAGAAGAGGGGAGAGCCGGGCAGGAACTTGGAGCAACTTCCTGCAAATAGGATACCTGCCCTAAGATGCTCACAGCCTGAGGGGTAGGCAGGCTGCCTCGCAAAGCCTAGGGGTTCCCCTGCCTAGAGGCCCAGGGCTACCTGTGAACAAGGCTTAGGCGCTCTTGGGTGTCCCACCCACTCTCCCGGGCATGGCCTCCCCTGACCGCCTCAGCGCACCCCTTGACCTCATCACCCGCCCTGGACTCCTGTCTCCTTAAGAGTCTTTCCAGACACCCCCTGGGAAAACAGAGAGCCAGAAGATCACAGGAGACTTCTAGGAAATGAGCTTAACGGAGGCTCCGCCTCCCCGGGGAATGCGCTCTGCAGCCCTGGCCTTTCCCCTGCCAGACTGCAACATCTCTGGCCAGAAGGCGAGGAGAGAGATAGACCAGTCCATCCCAAGGCCCAACCTCACCAAGAACTGCAAATCTCAGCCCCTACCTCTCCCAGCAAGGCAGGCCCATAAATGGCCAGAGACCTCCAGATAGGACTGAGGCAAGGCTGTGAAGCAGAGAAGGCTCCAGGAAAAACCTACAGCCCAAGCGGGATCCAGGTTACACCCCAGGACTTCCTGATACGGGGGAGAGGCCTGGGAAACTGAGCACCCCATGGACTCCTTACATCCCCTGGACCCTTCCTCCAATCTGGGGGAAGGAGTGAGTCAGAGGGCCTCTTCAGAAGCAGACAATGGACAAGCCCTCTGGTCAAGGTTCCTGTGCCAACCAGGCTCACGGACAAGTGGTGATGAGCTGGGGTCCCTCCTCTTTGGGTACCCAAAGGAAAGGGTGGTGCGAGAGACCCAGGGAGGACTTGACAGGTAACAAGTCCTTGGCAATAGTCCCAAGGTCCAAGGACTTAGGCCAGGACCCTAAGACAATAAACGTGGCTTCTACTTTCTCTTCCCGGAGTGTGAGTGCGGTCTCCAGAGTCCCTCCCACTGCCTGCTACAGGACACGCGGGGGGGCCCTGGGCCCCTTTCCTCTCTGCGCGTGCGGTCACCCAGCGGCCCTCCCCTTCTCCCTGAGCGAGGCCTGGGGGGTGAGCGCTCCACACACACTTGAGGAGGGGCCAGATGCCCACAGCCCGGGTCTCTTTTCGACCCTGGGATTGGATCCCGGCGCGGGGTGGGGCAAGGCTGTCCCATGGCCCAGCACGCCCCTTCTGCTAAGAAAACTGGGCACAGGCAGGCGTTGGCTAGAGAAGGGACCAGCCGAGCTCCTAGCCCTTCCTTTCCGCCTCAGTCCTGGTCCATGGCTCCCGGCTCAGGCCACCCCGCCTGTCCCTCGATGTGCAGAGCGCGAGCGCGGACGGCGTCCGAGGGCAGGGCCCCGAGCTGTGCGGTGCCGGGCACCGTGCTCCTGCTGTTCGTCTACCCCGCTTACCTGGCGCTGGGCACCGGCGTGTTCTGGGTGCTGGAGAGCCCCGCGGCGCATGATGCCACCGAGAGGTTCCAGCACGACAAGTGGGCGCTGCTGCGGAATTTCACGTGTCTGGATGGCCCGGCGCTGGACTTAATGATCCGGGTCAGGGGCGAGCGGGGCTGTCCCGGGCGCGACGGGATGGGCAGGGGACCGCAGGGTGATCGGGCAGAGGGCGAGAGGGCGCTTAAAAGAGAGGTGGAGGGGATAGACGCGGGGACAACAGGGGGCGCGCGTGGCCGGGTAGGGGACGAGAGAGGTGGGCTGGACCGCAGGGGAAAGGGCCCAGGCTCCAGCGAGAGGAAAGCGCAGCGCGGCCCTCTGAGTCCTCTTTTGGGGGCCCTGCGGAGAGATGCGTGGCGCCAACATCCGAATTTGAGTATGAGGACGACAGGGGCGCGCTTAGCTGGGTCGGGAGCTGGAAGGGCCGGCCCGCTCGGTCAGAATAGGGGCACAGCGCGCTTGGCCGGCTTGGGAGGCGGCGGGGCGCGGGTCCAACCCGGACCGCGCGGTGCTGTGTCGGGGTTAGACCTCGAGTGAAGGACGAAAGGTCACATCTGGTCCCTTCCCAGAGAGACCCCAGGAGCAAATATGAGAATTGGGAGCGAGGACGGCAGGAGGCGCTGGGTGTCTAAGGACGAGCAAGACCGAGGGCGGGACCGGCGGGGTCTGGGGGAAAGGGGCGCGGGGAAAGTTTGGCCCAGCGGTGGGTAGAATGGGGCTGAGGCGCGCGTGTCAGAGTCGGGGGTCAGTGGGGGGGGGGGGGCGGGGGGCGAGGGAGAGCTCGAAGTGCTCTGACCCGGGTCCGAGGGGAGGAGCAGACGCAGAGGCGCTGTTTGGCTGACCGCCTTACTCCGAGCCTTCGGACACCAGGGGCTAGGCGCGCCCACCCAGCCGCGGGAGGATGCAGAGGTCACTGAGGACAGAGACTGCTCGGAGGGTGGGGACCCAGCGCGGCGCGGGGAGGAGGGGAAGCAAGGGAGGGATCTTCCGGGCGGGGCATGGAGAAAGGATAGAGGCCTCCTTCTCCGACTCTGGGCGGGCGACGCCCAACTAGGAGCTGCTGGGATTCGGCGGAAGTATTAAAGTCCTAGTCCTTACTAGGTCCCTGGGCCCAGACAGCTGCACCCCTGGCCTGAATCCCCACCCCGACCCCTCGCAGTCCCGGTGCCTCCGAGGAGAGGGACGGGACATGTGTCCGGGGCACCTGAGCACAGGTGGTGTCCTGAGCCCTTGGACTGAGCCAATTCGGCAGGGCCTGGAGCTGGGCAGGGCAAAGACCACCTCTGCTAAGGACCTAATACAGCGCCTCCACCCCCCACCACTAAACTTCCACAAATACAGCCGACCACCTGGTCCTGGGGGCTGTGTGATACCCTTGCAAAGGAGGTGAACTTTACTGCAGGCAACCTGGGCGGGGGGAGGTGACAATGAGGGTGATGATAATAGTAAGAAACACTCCCCTAGTATAGCACTCACTGCTTGTTGAGCACTGTTCCTAGTGTACTAACCTGTGTTAACTGGCTTCATCCTCACCTACCTCACATGTGGGTACCATTACACTCATCCCCATTTTAGAGATGAAGAAACCGAGGCTCAGAGAGGTTAAATACAAACACACATGTACACAGGCATGGGGCTGTTACTCGCCATGAGGACTGCCTCAGTGTGGATCTGTGGATGGGGGTGGTTCCCAGCTGGACTTCCATCTCTGTACACTTCCCCTCCAGCCCCCTCCTACTCCACGCCCACTTCACCTCCTTCCTCAACCCTCCTGTGGCTTCAACCATCCCCAGGAATAAAGATGTGGTGCCTCCAACCCAGATCTCCCCGAGGGGTACCAGGGAAGTACATGCAACTTCCTAGCAGCCCTCAAATTCCCCCAAGGTCAAGGGCAAGCAGCCCTCCTCCTCCCAGCCCTGCTCCTCTACCTGTTCCAGATCTCTGTCACTGGCCCCACACCCACACACACTCATACTGGTCTTAGATGCTTCCCTCACTACCCGCACCAAATGGAGCCTGAGGCCTGGGCTTCTGAACATCTCCTCTGTGTTCCTCCTGGACCACCCTGTGCCAGGATGCTGGCCAGGCCCCTCCATCACTCTACACCCCTGTAGGAATCTCTCCCCTTCCAGTCTGCCAACATCTTCTATGCTGCCAGCTGCCACAGAGCCCAAACACCTGATCCTGTCTTCTGTTTGCTCAGTGGCCTTGGATGCAGCCTGCCACTGGCTCCTGGGCAGGGCAGAGCCAAGCATGACCTGGCCCACAACCATCTTTCAGTCTCCTTATTCTACAACCGAGGCACAGTCACACCTCCCAGCCTCTGCTCCTGCTGACCCATCTGCCTAAATGCCCCTCACCAGGGCCAATCCTATCTGGCCCTCAAGGAGGGCCCAACGAGACCATCACTCCCTCCATGAAGCCTTCTGCCCCCACCCCCATCAGAACAAACACCTTTCCTCTCTACTCCAGCTGCCTTAGACTCGTGATAATGGTGACGTTGGCAACCACTAACATTCACCGTGTTCAGGTACTCTTCTAAGTGTTCACACATAATACCTCGTTTAACCCTCACAACAACTCTGTGAAGTGGGTGCCATTAGGATTCCCATTTTATAGATAGGAAAACTGAGGCACAGAGAAGTTGAGCATCTTCCCAGGATCGTGCAGTTGCGCTGACTTTGTGTCCAGAGCTGCAAGGACTGCACTGTGCTAGAGTTAGACAATTTGGCTCCGTCCCACTGAGGACTGAGGTCACGTCTCTTTCATCTCTGGGTTCCCTAAAAGCACCACACAGCAGGCCTGGCCAGTGCTTGTTGCAGGAATGGGAGCGACCAGAGGAGAAAATAAATGGTGTTCTTCCAGCCAGTGAGATATCCTAGGCTGACCTGGGCTCAAGTGAGGGGAAGGAGCTGTCCCCCGTGGTTCCTGCCCCTGGGGAGCCCCTGGTTGGAGGGGGAGAGCCTCCTTTCCGTGGACTGGCTGCCATCAAAGAACAGTTGTGAGAATTGTCCACGGGTTTGTGTGTGTGCGTGTATGCATGCGTGTATGCACACGTGTGTGGCTGTGGGTGCAGTCTCCCCCACAGAGCCTAGCGGTCACTGCAGCCTCTCCTTCAGGGCATCATCCAAGCGTACCGGGATGGGGACATCGTCCTCAGCAACACCACCAGCATGGGGCGCTGGGAGCTCATGGGCTCCTTCTTCTTTTCCGTGTCCACCATCACCACCATTGGTAAGGACAGCATGGAGCCAGGTGGGTGGGGCTGGGGAGAGTGGCCTCCCCCTGAGGGATGGGGAGCCAGTTGCTTCTTGGAGAGGTTGTCAGGACCTCGAGACTCCAAGTGTGGTCGGACCCAGCAGCGTGGACACCACCTGAGAGCAGAATCTAGGGCCTCCCGGGCCTGGCGGATGGTCTGCTGAATCAGTTTCTGCATTTTACCAAGGCCCCCAGGAGGTTTGTGTGCAATGCTCAAGTCTGAGAAACTCTGCTCTAGGGGACTTCTGCCTCGCACAGCCTCTCGGGGAGCAGAGGCGAGGGAGAGTTGGGAAAGAAGGAGGGGCAGAAATCCAAAAAGAGACTTTCGACCCCCTGTTCTCAGCCTTGGGGAGAGGTGGCCATTCCTGGAGGCCTCTCCTCAACTCCATCACCCCCGTCACCATCCTCTCCAGGCTCCCTTCCTCCCTCACACGGGGACACCTGAGCCAGATCTCCCTCCCGTGTCCCTAACCGTGCCCTGCAGAGAGCTGAGGTGGCGCTTGTCCTGAGAGGGCACCTTGGGGCTGTGGTGGGGGATGGAGGGGAGCAGCCTAGATCCCTCTAGCTCTGAAACCCAGGAAATAACTCAAGCCAGGCGGCCTCATCCCCACCCGGCCCCTGGACCTCTGCCCCGGCCCCCGCCCCTGCATGACACTCGACTGACCACCAGGTGGCAGGCTGACGCCACTGATGCCTCACACTGCCTCCTCCACCAGCTCTTGGCCAGCCAGGATCCTCTCCCAGTGACACCAGTATCCGAGCCTCTGTCCTCCCCAGAGTGGGGCTAGGCAGGAGCACCCAGAGGACACTCCATCTAGTCTGAAGTCAGCTAGTACTTCTTGGAAACAGGTCTTGGGGTCATGCGGGAGCTGGGCCTGTCCTCCACCTTGAGACAAGCATGCTTGGGAGAGCCCTGCGCTCTGGAAGGACTGGCCAGCATGGTGTTTATTCATCTTTACACCGCAGGGTCTAGAACAAGGCACAGCAAACAGTGGGTGCTCAACTAATGCTGACACTTAAGTGAATTCCAAAAAGACCCATCCCACCAGCATTTTTTGAGTGCCAGGGCAGTAGGTGATGTTGCTGCCGTCAGCACGGGTCAGGCCTGCCAGAGGGTGAGTGTCTTCAGTCTCTGAAACCCACACCTCATATACCCTCGACCGCAGACGGGTGACTTTGGCCCACTGAATTCGGTTTCACAG